ATCATACAGATATTATTTTTATTATATTTATGTAATAAATATACATAATAAAATTGAATTCATTAAATTATATTAAAAATAAAGGAATATTCCTCAGAATCTAACCTAAACGAGCGTTGATAAAGTCTATGAAATCGCTCAAACTGGGTACATACAGAATAGATTTTTTAAGCACCACAGGACATTACCAATCTCATATTAAGAGAGGAACATTTTAATTTAGCGATTGGTGGGCGTGGTGTTACGGACGACATGCTGTCTAATTATAAAGCGGCTCATTGGCTTTATAAAACGAGGGCAGGGTACTATAATAGGTGTTTTTACCCCGCGATTCATTGTAATCAATAAATTGACTCTGCGACTTTGATGGAAATAATAAAAAATAAACATACATATATAAGAAAAAGGAAAATAAATTGATTGTGACGAAATCTGAACAAAAATATAGCTTAGATATCAGAATCACATAGCATACAAAACATTCCATAATTCCGCGATTTCGGAATCATATAACAAGCTGCGCATAATATCGACGAAAACGCGGACAAAGTCACAAACAGAAACTAGTTCTTTCCAAGTTTGTCATAGAGAACGAAGCATATTCTTCTATACACTCAATAACCACTTGAAAATGAAATAAAATTTCAAAATACTTTACTAACAATTCAGTAGTGTAGTGGTGATCGAACCAAGAATATAATTCGATGTGATTGATCCTTCGCATTCAATAACAAGAACACTTCATATGAACAATACAGAAAAATGTATTTACTATATATATTGAAATAAAACTTTGTATGACAGTATTAATGATTGTAATAAAAATGTATATAAGAAACTAATATTTTTTAGATACTTTACGATTGTTTTACCCTAACTAATATTATAAATGCGAAAGTAACTCTTTCTGTCTGTCTGTCTGTCTGTTACTCTTTCACGCTTAAACCACTGAACTGATTTTAATGAAATTTGGTACATAGATAGAGTTGACCTTGAGAAAGAACATAGGATAGTTTTTATGCCAGACTTTTGAAAGGTTCTCTGGGAAACGCGATATAACCGAACTCCACGCGGACGAAGCTGCGGGCGGAAAGCTAGTTTTTGATAAAAACTACATACTCCCGACGTTTCGGCTAGTTTTCAGCAACCGTGAACACGGGCAGACGAGTATGTAGTTTTTCAAAAAAAATAAAGCACGCGTAGTATATACGAAAAATATTATTAACATTTAAATGAATTAAACTCGCGAAAATCTTAGATCTCGTAATGTATATGAGAACTAAATAAATAAATAGGCAACGTTTCTTTAGATATACTTTTATAATACAGTACTTTTTATATGGATGTATGTGCGTGTGTGTGTGTATGTGTGTATGTATGTGTGTGTACGTATGATTAATATAATTGTCACGGAACCGTAACACCATAAATAGATCGTATCGATTTAATCAACTCACTGTAATCGATAATCACTTGTAGTAATTCCTACATCGATATATTTACCCTCGCACAGATCAAACGACACACAGAGGCAACATTACAATTAAATAAAAATTGTATGCACACAGTTATATTGTTATTTGCTTATAAATGATAAAAATGAGATTTTTTTTTTTCTATATATTTTATATAAAGTAGGTATGTTAAAGCATTAGATATTTTAACTATGCATCAATAACTTCTATAGTATGTATGACGCAATTTATACACAATTCAAACTGTTGTATTGATCCCTCAGTTACTACAACGAATTATAGTCTAAGTATGTCTTTTTTATATGTTTTAACCACATAACTAAACCTAAAGTTTCATGAAAATTTGTTAAATAGTTTCGACTTGAATACACAATAAACAACCATACATTCAAATTTATAATATAATAATTAAAATTAATAAATAATGTCATACATAAATTTTATAAAATTTTAGTATAATAATTATAATATAAAACCAATCATATCACTTAAAAAAATCTTTTTTTTTAATAAATAAATAATTTTATTTTAATGTAAGCCTCTGTGTCGTTCTAACCTGTGCCGGGGCGGGATGTCAAAGCTTCGCATATGCACACAATAGCACTGCATCGTGCCACATGCTACACAGAAGTACCAATTAAATGTACACCAGATTGAATTACCAGTTTATATTGTAATCAAGAATTATATATATATAAATTTAACCTAGATTTAAAGTAGGTTAAATTAAATCTATATTTATAAGTTATATTATTTAATATTAATGACTTATTCAATATTATATAGTCTAATTGATGTAAAAAGGAACTGTACCTAGCTTTTTTTATATATACGTATAAAATAATAGTTGGATTTGTATATTGGCAAATAGTTTCGGTCTTTTTAAGAAAATCAACATTTTTCAAAACAATTTACAGGATATAACCCATTTAGCCACTTTGAATCTTAGTGGGTAAAAATATCATAGAATTCGCGAAATACTATAATACTGCCCTAATCTACAAATAATACTAGTTAAATTTTAAATGAAAAAACTCAAACACAATCAATAAACGTTAAACATTGATTACACTTTAATCAAATGAATCATCGCATTAATAATAAAAAAAAAGAAAGTAAAAATGTAAAACGAAAACAAAAAACCTAGTATCAAAGGCATATCGTGTTGAACATTAAAAAAAAACCCGCGCGACATTTGACACTTCAACTGTCAACGTCAACTGTCACCAGACAAAACAGAGCCGGGTCATTGTTAAGCGTTAATTAAATGGGACTTTTGTTTTGTACCACGCAGTTATTATTTAAAATGTATTGACAGAAACTTCCATAGTAGAATAATCGGTTAAATCAAAGTTAGTTTTAATTCGAGGTGTTATGTTCTATACAATACTATGCTTTGCATTATATTAAATATATATATATTATAGAAATTTCTTGTTTGAAATTTACGATACAAATATTATTATACATAGGTACGTATAAAAGTTTCAATTCATATAAAATTACTTTATTTTTTACGTTGAAGATAATTTAAATTTTATTATTTAATTTACTACTTAATTAAACATAAATATAATGAATTAATAGTAATATAATATGTATGTATATACTATACAAAACACATGTACATATATATTCTTCGGTAGTATTTCTCATTCAAAACATGACTCCTCTTTTAGTAGGTCGGTGAATCAAAAAGAAATCTCTAACACCATCCCCTTATTTTTCATTCTCACCCCCAAAAGTAAGTGCTAATGCATTAGACGAATTGAATTATAACTTACTTCAGACATTATTATATATATAAATTATTGTCAAATGTATGTATGTATTTAAGTATTGTAAAGTACCTTTCTTGTCGGGACGTATTTTGGATGGGTGACCGAATTCGACAAAATGGATGAGCCATAATTAATACGAAATCTCTTTATTTAAAATGCCATATATACAGATTTCTTTAAAATATTTTTATAATTTGATTTAGTTATTTTCGCTTTGAATAATACGTTTAACTGAGGGAAGTTAAGTATAAATGAAACTTTTTTTAAAAGACATATGTACGGCAAAAATAAATTGACAATATATATTAATAAACGTAACACAAAAATATACAAAATATGTTAATCTTTGTCAACTATAAATGGAAATTTAAAAATATATATATTATTTTAAGAATTTTTACTAACCAATGAAAACTTAAATATTTATAAAACAAAAACCTACTTATCATCTTATTATAAATAAAATCTAATAATAAAAAATTTTGGGTTCAAAAAATTTTCAACATCGCAATTACTTCATACAAAAAAAGCAAACTGGTCATAATCAACATATAATAGCATAAATACATACAAAATAATACAAACTAACATATATTGTACTATAAATATACTATACTTATAATACAAATAAAATATACAACATTTTAATACAAGTTCATATAAAAAGTCCATACTGTTATCAAGATAAAAGTAATGTAGTACAAAATGGTACACAGTTTTTATCATGAGAACTATCATTAAACCCATATGTATGTACGTACTACATATAGTTAATGAGCTATACGGAACGCCAAATACATATAAAACTATTTTTATGACTATTCTTGAATAAATATAATATTCATTTATTTTCATAGTTGATGATGTAGTAAATTATGAAAAATACGATTCCTGATAAACGCGAGTATAGAGTGGAATAACCTTAGTACTTGTTTCTCACTATATACGCGGCGTTTGCAGTATTTGCATATAGCAATTTTGATATTATCATGAGCATAGATTTATAAATAAAAAACGTGAAACATTTCGTGAATACGAAGTTAAATACTCATGGTAGGTATGTACATATGATTACAAGAATATGTATAATTTTTATTTATTTATTCCACATTCTATTCTTAAAGTGAAAATAAAAAGATACTGCGATATCTTTTTATAATATTATCAAGGTTTCATGAACCAAAAAGTTTTGTAAGACTATGCATCCAATTATGTTCTTTTTTTGTTGTAATTACCGTAGCGGGTGCAGTCGCGTGTATGGGCTAATTCATTATATATTTGTATGTAAGTCAAAGTAACTTACAGATAACACCATCATGGTACATAGTATGCGATTAAAATTTTATAGAAATATTTCTTGCACATCATATTAATATTACCACAAGTTTTGTACGACACACTAACAGTTTAATACTTACGGTCTATTCGAACTAAAAAAAACTACGTTCATTTTATCATGTGTAAAGTTTTACGAATTAAATATTACGAATAAACGACAAGAAACTTGGTATTTAATCCACATAGTACTAAAATTATAATTCGTCCAACAAATAAAAACGTTGTGTTTGGAAAATATTCCACGATTCCAGTGCGAACGAAGTCATATAAAAAAGTACTATCATATGTCTTGATAATGCAATTATTTACTAACTTCCCTTATTATCAAAACTTACCTTGGCTGAACTAATTTACCGTATTTCTATTAGCTAAACTAAAGCACTTACCAGTACTAGCCATCACTTACCTGATAATCATATGGGCTCTGTTCCTCAATAATCCCAATATTTCCAATTCTTCATCAGGAGTTTCCTCGTCGTGGTGTAATCTTGAGGCGCAAAGCACTGAATCCAAAGCAACAGAGAGACTGTCACATAACTGCTTCGCTAGTTCCATTTCACGCTCATTAGATTTCAGATCTTTTTCCTAAACAAAAATATTTACGTTAGAATCGAAGCTGCTACTATCGATGAATTACCGCCGTCACAACAATTGAGCTATAAGACCTCTAATACTTTAGGACATAAGTAAGAAATTTTGTTGATAAGATATAGAGTTACTAGTTTAAGAAATCTTGGTCTATACAAAACCAAATAGCCAGGTGGCATCTAGCAATTAATAATACGTAATCATTGTAAACAAATGAAAGTGTAAATCTATGTTAAATGTAAAGCTTAAATGAAAGTGTGAATCTATGTAAATGAATAAATGTAAAGCCAAAGCTAGTTATAATAGTTATATATCAATTACAACATAATGTAAGTCAAATGCAACATCGGCCATTAGGCGGGGCTGTGTTCAGACGATAGGGCATTAGGGAGAGGGAGCGTTTGATTTGGAGAGTTCACTTGAACGTCTACTTGAAAGGCGAGTCGACTTGCTTACTATTTTATTAGACAATCATCAAATTAATGTATTGCACAGAAAAATATTTTTCTTTGAACTTAGAAACACATAAATATGTATCTCATTTGTGACATTCTACATATTTCATTCAAACATTAGATAATTGAGCAGATAAATTACAAAGTTATATATGGTTTCTTTGAATTTTGATGCAAAAAATACATATCTTGATATAAAAATAATCTACAACCAATTAATAATACAATAATGACACCAGATAGACGGCGAAATTATCAAAAAACTATAAACTTTATAGATAACCAAATACAGAAACTATAGTTAACTAACGAATTAATTATCCCTACTAATATTACAAATGCGAAAGTAACTCTGTCTGTCTTGTCTGTTACGCTTTCACCCCTAAACCACTGAACTGATTTTAATGAAATTTGGTACAGATATAGAGTTGACCTTGAGAAAGAACATAGGATAGTTTTTATCCCAGACTTTTGAAAGGTTCTCTTGGAAACGCGATATAACCGAACTTGACGCGGGCGAAGCTGCGGGCGGAAAGTTAGTATATACATATATAGAAAAACTAATTCATATATGACTTTAATGTTATATATTCAAACTGTTTGTATTGAATTTATTAATAAATTACTTTTAATGAGCCAACGGAGACGACATATTTGCATAGCTGTCATATAAATTACTTCAATCAAACTGAATTATAGATATAATTCGTGACCAGAGAGATAATTAAAATTTATTAATTACAATAATAATGTCTTTAACATTTAAGGAATGTCCAAATATATAATATATGTATCAGTAGGATTCGAACCCACTATATTAGAGATAAAAAATCGCAATCATTTTACCTACAATGAACTGACTTATATTATTGAGATAACAAGAAAATTCCATAGTGTATAGTTATAATAATTATATCTTTAAATATATTGGAAAAAAATATTCCGATGAAACTAAAATAATATTTAATATAAAAACAAATAAAGATAGCATTAATCATTATAATATTTGTCAGAATACATATATTAATAAACCGGTTGATATATAAATGATGATCCAGTATTTAGTCGAGTATAGTGGGCGATGTGAATGCTCCCGGATGCATTAGCGCCGCTTTCAAGGCGCCCACTCACCGCTACCGGGGATCGTAGGGTTGGCACTAACGTTATTTAATATATCAAATTACTGAACCAAAAAAAAATCATATTTTTGTAACCTATTAAATTACTACTAGAGTAATTATATATTCTTTTTTATTTTATTCTGTCTTATGAGAGAAAAAAATTAAATGTTATTTTTTTTATAATGCTATTTTACAATATATATCTTTATTTATCTTGCTCGATGACAAATGACAGATGACAATGACAGTGACATTGACATTTCCAATGACAGTGACAGCCCTAGCTAAGTAAAGGCTTCCCATGTCCTGTATGGCACCGCACGTAGTGTAACTATATTATATTCTATAATAAACGTAGCTAACGTTCAGAAATAAAACTCCGCCCCGACTATACACCCTGTATCAAATTAAAGGAACTTAGTCTTTAAAACTTAAAAATGAATGTATATATATAAATAAATATACTAGCTGACCCGGCAAAAGCTATTTTGGCATACAAAAAAAATTGAGGTTGGTGATAAAGAAGTAAAAATTAAGGTTTGTAGGTATTTTTTATGCCACATTATAAAAAAATAGTTTTTTTTTTAAATAAGGTTGACCAACTCTTATCACTTAGGGGTATGAAAAAAAAAGTAGCCGATTCTCAAACCTATTGAATACGCATATAAAATTTGGTAAAAATCGGTAAAGCCGTTTCGGAAGAGTTCTTTGTCTAACACCGCAACACGAGAATTTTATGTATAAGATATTATAAGATCAACAAACAAACAAAACAAATAGATTGAAATACATAAATATAAAAAACTATTTCGACCTTTTCATGTCTAGCGTATAAAACTGTCAAACTTGTGAAAACAGAATCAACGAAGTTGTAAAAGAATTTTCATGTCAAACATCAAAATCAACTGCACGGAAATTCGCAACCCCTTTAGTTTTTATGACGATGTTGTATAAACAAATAAACATCTTGTTTAGATGCAAAAGTTATATTAGATCATATTATGAGGATCATAATATTTAATTATATATACTTTTCCTTATCAAATATATTTTCTTTTTTTTTATTTTTGCCATTAAACAATATATTATTTACAAAAAAACAATATATTTTTAATTAAACGCAAAATTATTCTGTCAATAATAACATCAAAAAAGTTCGATGTTCATACGAAAACGAAAAAAAATTATCATATTAAATGAAATATTTTTTACTTATGGCAACTTTTAAGTGTTACCATACAAATGGTTACTATAATTTTTTAAACATTCATTACTAGAGTGTCGTATTTAATTATAATTATTACAAACTTTATATATAAAAGAAAGTCATTTTAATTACACTATTTATAACTCAAGAACGACTGTACGGGTTTTTCTGAAAATTGGTAGAGAGTTAGCTTAGAAGAAAGAAATTACATAGGATACTTTTCATCCGATCGAAAAAGACGAAACAAAAGTAGATAAAATCAAAATCTTCTTATTTACTGCTTTTAAGGAGGAAAAGAGTTCGCCCGGTCAGCTATACATTTCTCATTCTGAAACTAACGCAGACGAAGCCGAGGGCAAAAACTAGTTTAATATAATCGTGACTGGATTTGAGGTTTCTTAAACAAATAACCATGACTTCTTAAATAAAATCTTCGACCTTGATACTAGTGAATGTGTATAAAAGTATATTGGCCAATTATATAATATTATACTTATTAAATATCATTTACAAGTTTGTTTAATAGATTAAGTAGTACTATGTAGTAAATATTATTAAGTATTTTTAATTACATTATTTCAGAATTAAATGCACTTATTTGAAGAATTGTTATAAAGAAACCCTAAGCTTTGTCCATTAGGTAAAATAAGGATTTTTTTAATAATATGTTATTATGATGAACAATTTTATGATATCTATATTTAAGGGATAATTCTCCGAATTAAGTCCAAATACTAAAATGGAAAAAATATATATATTGTACAAAAATGTCAAAGAATAGTTACTTCAATCATTAATTTGCAATAAGCTTGAGTAAAAGACACTTTCTATTATAAAGATTCGAATATTCCATGCATATAGTATTTTCTACTATTGAAGTTCAATCATACAAAGCAAAAGGTACTTTTTAGCATTGATATCCAAATATCCCACCAAAAGGTACTTTTTAGCATAGATATCTAAATATCCCACACAAAAAGTACATTTCAATAATAATATCCAAATAAAACAATATAATATATATTATAATTCAACTCACCATCTGTCTACATAGTAGTGTAGCTTGATGTACGCAAGTATTGGTTGAGAGGATTTGAGCGGCGGTGGCTGTACAAGACACCATTACACGAGACACCAGTGTCACGGCGTTGGTTAGACACCTGAGAGAGAGGTAGATATACAGGGTGACTGGTGAATTACTATCGATACTTGAAGACGTGATATTTGGCGATCATATATGACAAAATAAAAATTAATATAACATAAATATTAATAAACTTCTAAGTAAAGTTAACCAAAAGTTATGCAATTAATTACGCATCGTGTGAACACCCTACAGATTAGGTATACTCACACACACACACACACACACGCGTGCGGCGGCGTGGTGATACAACACCACGCGTCCACACTTGGAACACTTGGAACGTGTCCACACTTTATTTATTTATACGGAAATTTGGTCAAAAATAAGTACCTATTTTTTTTACATAATTCGAATGAGAATCATGTACCGAGTATTCTCCTTAAATATTGATAGTAATTCACCAGTCACCCTGTATATAGAAAGAGAGAGATAAAGTTTTTAGAGTCAGTGGTTTCATAGTGGTTAAAAGGCCCTCCTCTCAAGCACGAGGTCGCGGGTTCGATACTGGCCCGGGCAAGTACCAATGTGATTTTTCCGAGTCATATGTACTTTCTAAGAGTATTTAGACATCACTGACTAATACTGATTCCCAAAAAAGGGTTGATGTCAAAACTATTCACAACATGTAAGGCAGACCCTGGCTATAGCTGGTAAATTGCCAGGTAGAAGATATAAAGAGATAGAGAGAATATACTGAATTAATGTATGAGTTCTGTGTTTAACCAAACAAATTTGACTAATTTTTGTGATATAAACAATTTTTCGTTATAACGAATGATGTTATAGGGTTTAAGCTATATATAATGTATGATTGTAATTTTTATAAGTCTTAAGAGTACAATAAAGTAGAATAATACATAATGTTTTTGCACTTCAGATATCCACATGTATAAATAAGAAATATAGTATTTATTTCTCCTTAAACTACTCCTTAACTCCTTTATACGTCAAAAAGTTAAGAAAATAAAGTTTCCTTTTACATTTTAATATATGAACTAAATAAAATTCAAAATCATATATACATAAACATTACCTACACACATTAAAATATTCTCATATATAAAATCAATATACTTTTTGTTGATAATTATTAAGAGATTAAAGTACAAAAAGTCTATATCCTACTAATATTATAATTGCGAAAGTTTGTGAGTGTGTGTGTATGTTTGTTACTTCTTAACGCTCAAACGGCTGAACCGATTTTGATAAAATTTTGTATACAGGAAGCTGTATACGTCCAGGAATAACATATAGGCTACTTTACATTCCGGAAATCCCGAAAATCCCGGAAATCCGCGGGGCGCAGCTAGTATGTATATAAATATATATAGTAATTTCTTTTCCTTACTTAGCTGATATAGGTGGATTAAGATCTTCTTTCTCTGCCGCCACAGCTAACATTTGACTGATCACTTTCACAGCTTGGAATCTCTGAACCGATGCCTTTTCTAGGAAATGCTGGAAAAAATATTACTTATTAATATATGGAAAAATATAACTTAAATAGGTTCGCTTTATATATATAGCAATTGTTTAGTTTTATGTTCGGTATATTTGATGTTTGGGACTTATAAGAGTATTTTGTCTTTGGTATATAATATACATGGTATTTAATCTAATGAATGTTTTATCCATATATTTTAGGACATATCAGTGTATTTTCATTCAAATTAAAATCGTATGTGCATACAAATAAAGCTGCATTTCCACTTAAGTATATATATTTCATACATTATTACTCTTCAATTTATATATTCTAAAAAAGTGCACTTTCATTCAAATTACAATCTTAATAGTATAGTAATAAAGCTGTATTACAAACCTTCTCAAATTTCTCCATCATTCTGTACAATTCGTTCATCTGTTTCTCCAGATACGGTAAATCAATATCAATCTTCTTCTCCATTCGAGCGTTCCTATTCATTTCAATCAGAGAACTACATACAGAACTTGTTTTACTCCATTTATCATTATTATTGTTATTATTATTCTTCTTTTTTTTCTTCTTCTTAGATTTAACTTCTGGAACATTCTGTGTCCCGCTTGTACTGGGTTCACAGTAGTTAGAACATTCTCCATTAATACTTGCATCTTCTTTATTCTTCTCCAATAACTTGTGTTTCTCCGCTTCTCCATTAACTTGTGGTGTTTGTTTCTTTTCTTTTTCCTTTTCATCGTCATCTTTCTCACATTCAGGTACGAAAGGCGCCATAATGTTGCGTATAGAACTTATAGCTCTGTATACTTTGCTTGTAAGTGGGTTGAGCATTGTATCCAATGTTGTTATATTGTCCTCGAACACTGGAGCTTGGCTTCTGTTGGAAATATATATTTATGAATAATTATATATTATTACAACATAGTATTACTTAATTTTAATCATTTCTGTTAAGATCAATACAAACAAATATTGCTTTTAGTGTGAATTTTACTAATCGCCATTCAGACTATTATAAAAAATGTATATGTATAAATAAATTTCTTTAAACAAAATGCGACAAAATATGTTCAGTTACAACTAAATCTGTTCAGTAAACAATTATCAAACTCAAAGATATAAAATATTAATAAAATATAATCTAAATTACTTACTCTGTCAATTTCTCACTGATGCCAAAAAAAGAAGACATACAATTATTAATTTATTATTATTATATATCATAAAAAATCTTTGAAAATTGCAAGAACTTATTTATATGCAATACAAAAGAAATAATTAGCTTAAATATAAAACACTATTATATTGCAACATTTATTGATGAATTTAATCATACTGTTATCATATTATAATTCACACAATATATGAGACGAAACTTCATCATTCAATATATTCAGGGTGCGTGTGTCGGGTCCATCGTTGTAGTGAGAGGAGCTTCAACAGTGACTGGGACTTGTGACCCAGGTGTAGGTTTAAGAACCTACATAACGCGTTAAACGCTCACCTCCACTGTCCAAGCTCCTCTCTCTACCTAACCAAATTCGCGTATATACATATATATATGTATTATTCATGATTGAACATAAATGATTCAATCCTATACTCGTCCAAGCTTTATATACAGGGTGGCTGGTTAATTACTATCAATATTTAAGGAGAATACTCGGTACATGATTCTCATTCGAATTATGTAAAAAATAGGTACTTAATTTTTGACCAAATTTCCGTATAAATAAATAAAGTGTGGACACGTTCCAAGTGTGGACGCGTGCGCGGGCGTGCTGATACAACACCACGCCGCCGCACGCGTTTGTATGTGTGTGTGTATACCTAATCTGTAGGGTGTTCACACGATGCGTAATTAATTACATAACTTTTGGTTAACTTTACTTAGAAGTTTATTAATATTTTTGTTATATTAATTTTTATTTTGTCATATATGACCGTCAAATATCACGTCCTCTAGTATCGATAGTAATTCACCAGTCACCCTGTATAATCCTATGAAATCTTGCGATTCTAAAAATTTGAGCTCCTCTATTCATTCCTACCTTAATACAAGCCCAGCTAATAATTTCTGTTTAATTTTCCTCGCCTTTCGTTTAACAGCCTTTTGTTTTTCCCTTTCTTTCCGTTCTTGATCAATTCTCTTTGATTCCGAATCTTCCTTCTCAGCTTGATCTTGGCTTTCGGATATTGTCTGAAAATTGATTTAATTCATTCATAAAATCTCATTGGGTAACTTTTTTAATTTTAATAGTTATTATTACTCATAATTATTTTATATTTATAAGTGAAAAGTCATACAATTTTGTAAAAAACTGTAAAAGCATATACATCATCATCATCAGCCTATCAGAGCCCACTGCTGAGCATAGCCTCTTCTCACATGAAGAAGGTTTAAGCATTAATCACCACGCTTGCTCAAGACGAGTTTGTTATAGTTTTATATATATAATTCTTCTGTGAGTGTGTATGTCACTGAACTTCTCTGAAACGACTGGACCGATTTTGATGAAATTTCTTGTGTGTGTTCAAGGGGATCTGGGAATGGTTTAGATTCACAATTTTGTCCGCTGGACAATGTTTTTTTAATTTATTAGTAGTTGTTGATACAACCTTTTTTTTACATTAGATTTGACAACTAACTAATATGTCAATCATTCTGTCGCACTTCAAAACACGGAGATTTATAGTTTTAATAATATGTAAACTCCAAAAGTATAAATAAAAAAACGTAACAGATATTTCTTGATTATAGGATACGAAGTTCGCCGAGTCTTCTAGTATATATATAAATGTATATAAGGCTTAATACATACGGCGGGTCTAGGCCCAGTAGCTTTCTCCCGTATTGCCTGTAAGTGTGACTCGAGCCTTTGTTGGCTGGCATCCTGCTTGTCCCTTATACGAGATCTTAAAGCATCTGCTTCCAACTCGGCCGCCGCTGCTAAGGCTGATAGACGGGACTTTACACCTTCAGCCTGTACAATTAAGATTCAATTTAGAATACACCACGTTACCGAACTAACTGACTTAAAGAACTTAAAAACATTATGGAAAGACAATTAAATAAAATCACCTAATTTCATAAATATATTACATGAAAAATAAAGATTAAAAAATAAATAAAAATTTACATTTAAAAACGAAGTTCGTTTTTCTATGGGACATTAAAGTATCATTTTAATACAAATAACACTTGTTAAAGCTATATAATCATATAACTATCTATTTCGAAATCGTCCTCACAGCCCGGCTAGCTCAGTCGGTAGAGCATGAGACTCTTAATCTCAGGGTCGTGGGTTCGAGCCCCACGTTGGGCGAAAATACTTTTTTTAGTTTTTTTTATAATTTTATCACTATAAATTATTGATTCCTTTATTTTAAAATTACTTTATAATAATAATTGTACACATTTTATATAAATCGTAAGTTTCTACATAGCTTTAATAAAATATTTCTCTTGAATTATATAATATCTTACCTAAAAATATAACATACCTATTTACAGTTGTTTTAAATTGATATTAAAGTTAATTAATGTAAATAGTTGAGATAAGAAGGTTTTTGCTAGATCTAGAAATAATATTACCGTTCAAATATTTATATTCAATATAAATGTGACTAAAAGGACTTCCTAATCCCTACTTATAATATAAATGCGAAAATAACTCTGTTTGTATGTCTGTTACGCTTTCACGCCTAAACCACTGCACTAATTTTAATGAAATTTGGTACAGAGATACAGTTGACCTTGAGAAAGAACATAGGATAGTTTTTATCCCAGACTTTTGAAAAGTTCTCTCGGAAACGCGATATAACCGAACTCGACGCGGGCGAAAAGCTAGTAATTAATATATGTATGGGATATCAATTTCCTTAAAATATAATTATTTCTCATTGGTACATACTAAAATCTATAATAAGTAAAGAATATATGTTTCAAATATATTCAATATTTGAAACATATATGGATTACTTTATATGGATTTAAATAAAGTATCATCATTTCTAATATGAAACTAGTTTCCCATTTAATCCCTGTATAATCTTATTCTTTGTATGTAATTTAGTACCTTAAGTTATCAATAGATGGCAGCGGTAACAAAAATAAAACACGCAAGTAAAATTCACAAAGCAATACATATAAGGGGTTGTCCATTAATCACGTGATCTTTTTTTAGCATTTTTTAACCCCCCCGGCCCCATTGGTGATACGTAGTGAGGTTTAAGACCACCCCCCCTCCCCCTTCTCAACATCACATGTATTTTTAGTACCTACAACGAATCTTAAAATTTTCTGAATATTATCTTAATTTAAATACAGGTATAAACTATAATCTTATTTTAGTCTGAAATTAAGGACCATAATAAATTAATATTTGTTTAAAAAAGGCGCGTTAGACGAAAAAATAAATACACGAGATATCTTACTACACCCCCCCTCCCCCTTGTGTTATTTTCGTGATTTTTATCAAACCCCTCCCCCCCCTTTCAAGCCTCACGTGATTAATGGACAGCCCCTAAGCTAAATTAATAAAATATAATCAAGCTGTATAACTCTTTACCTCTAAAGTTGTCAATTCAAAATCTCTAAATATATTTAAAAAAAACGATTAAGAACCCATATATGTATTAGAAGATTTCACTGATCTTGTTTAATATCACTACATACTGTTTATTATTTGTAATTTTAATTGTAGTTATGGTTTTTAAAATTTCCTTTGTAAAATCTGTTCTTTTTGGAAATAAACTTCTTTAAACCTAATCAAGATCTAGGACCAACGGTGTGTTTCATTTGGTAAACCCTGTGGTAGTTATTACAAGCGAGGAAGTGTCTTGTAAAATAGGTTTAGGTTTAGAGATGATTTATTTCCCATTAAGAACAAAGTTCACTTACATAGGAAACTTAAACTAGTAACATAATAATAAACATTTATAAAGTTAATGGTGACCTTATTTATACAAACATTCAAATATTATAAAGTTTGACAGTATGTTTTTAATTTAGCCTTAAATAACAAAAAAGATTTTTCGTTTAATATTTCTTTCGGTAGATTATTGTACATTACCACTCCCTCAAATTGTATAGTTTTGTTACCATAATGTTTAGTTCTAGACTTAGGTATTTGTATTTGATGTATATTTCGTGTATAGTGTTTATGTGATTTAGTCTTAAAAGTAGTTTGTGTGTGTATTCCCTTCTTACCTTCTCCCTGGCAGCGTCATCTCTTTCCTGTTTCTTCAAGCCCTTCATTTCCTCAACCCTGGCGTCCCTTTCCTTACGTCGCTCCATTAAATTCTCAACATGTAATTTCCGAGCAGCTTCAATAGCTTGACGACGAGCTCCAACAGCTGCTTCGCGAGCTGCTTTTTGTTCCTGGAAATTGAAAACGGCATTAGTATGAAAGTTACATCAAAATAAGTTTGAAGTTATCTCGATTATTTCTTTACTATGATTGTAACAAAAGATGTTATAGAACCATCTTACTATGAAAGAAGAGTTTCAATAGATATATTTAATAAAATGTATGTACATTTATTATAATTTATATAATATGTTAAAGCAGAAAAATGTATACGAATACATAAACTAGCACTTAATGCATATGGAATTTCATTTTATTCAATCATTCGGTATAGTTAATAAAAGTGCCATCTATCGATAGTAAACAGAAACATCATCGACCGGTCACTACTAGCGCCCCGTTCAGCCAATGTGACTATAATTGAAATTACTCACTGCATACACTTCATACAAATACGCTACGTGAAATATTGTGTTGTGTATATAGAAAATATACATTTATGTGTGTAAAAACCTATGGATCTTAAGGTTTTGAAGGGAAAGACTTCTTGTACAACTCAAATGTTCCAAAATTCGCTTAAGTTTATCTATTGTTAAGAGACAATTTACCTTGGCCTAAATACCGTTTAAATAATATTTTCTTTCGAATTTAGTTTATTTCTCTGAACGTAAATGAATAGGGTTAATATCTAATTAGTGACTTTATTTATTTATTATGAAAAATTATAACTGATAGCACGCAATTATGTCTTATTGAACTTTTTAATTAAGTTAAACCCAACAATGTGTAATGTTTACCCTATCTTTAAAACGAGTCAAAGTTAATTAGAGATTAGTTCTCTTTTTTTAATATCACAAAGAGGGCAAACGAAAAACGCAGCTATTAAAGACTACTTCACGCCGATCTTCTGTGAGAGGGTAGTACTTCCCCGGTCGAGCCAGCAAATGTTCGAGCTGTAGTAACTTAAACAGCTAGGCTTACAGAACTTTATCTTTCTCTCTTGTACTAAAATGTATATTGTTACTTACCAACTTGTGTAGCCTATCCCTCCTCATTCCTCTTAAACGTGTTGTGTGTGATCGACATTGCTCCAAAAATTCATGGCGTCTATTCTCAGCCTCCAATTGCTTAATAAAAGCTATTTCCCTTAATTTTTCTTCTTCATCATGAGCTTTACGGACTATATCCTATGTAATATAGCAAAAAAATTATTAATATTATAAAAATACAAGAATTATTAATGTTTATTTTTAACACGCTTTTATAAGCTTGGGTTGTATGTGGGATGCATTTGAAATTACATATCTTTCCTCTCATACATAGTTGCCTAGAACTAGAATGATTGTACATAGTATTCGCTACGCTTTTTACTCTGAATTTAAATAATTTATTTGTAATTTAAAACTATTTCAAACTTTTTAGTTCGGTTAGCTATAAAAGCGTGTTTTTTTTAGTTTTTTTAACCTACTATTTATACCTTTAAATGTTGATCGCGATTCTCAGCAGCTTTTTGTAATCTCCTTTCCATTCTCATACGTTTTTCTTCTATGAGTTGATTTTTGGCAACCTGGTGGAATATTTTTTGTTAAATTTAGACCAGTAGTAGTTTAAATTATATTTTTTTGTTAATAATTACCTTAACCTCCTCAACTCTAGCCAATAACTGGTGTATTTTCTTTGAACGCTCAGTTTGATATTCCATTCTTTGTCTTTCGGCTCTTGCTTGTTTTGCTTGAAGTCTGAAAGTGTTTTTAATACTTTTTATTATTTTTTTTTTTATGCGAAAGCTGGCAAACGAGCTGACGGCCCACTTGATGGAAGGTGGTTACCGTCGCCCATGGACATCCGCAACATCTTTGTTGCGGATGCGTTGCCAACCTTATTTTTTAGGGATAGGAAGGACTGGGAATAAGGAAATGGTAGGAAAGGGTAGGGAATAGGGAAAGGGCAACCGGCTCTCTCACTCATCGGACGAAACGCAGCCGTTAAAGGCTACTTCACGCCGATCTTCTGTGAGAGGGTGGTACTTCCCCGGCCGAGCCAGCCCACGTTCGAGCTGTAGTAACTGACTACAGCTAGGCTCTACCACTTATACTGAACTATATTATTCTTCTACCTGGCAATTTCCCAGCTTTAGCCAGGGTCTGCCATACATGTTGTGAATAGTTTTGGCTAATTGTTTTTACGACCGGCCGCTTGCCTGACATCAACCCTCTTTGGGAATGCATTAATCAGTGATGTCTAAATACTCTCAGAAAGTACATATGACTCGGAAGAATTACATCGGTACTTGCCAGGATCGAACCCGAGACCTCATGCATTAGAGGCAGGCCTTTTAACCACTAGGCCACCACTGACTTATGCTGAACTATATTATGATATGATATTAAGTAAAAAAAAAGATATTCAAGCAAAGATTCTAGTGTAAGTTAATAGAATGGAGGAATATGTAAAAATATTATATTATTAATTATTATATAATAAAACCTTCGTAAGGCATCCTGTAGGCTCCCACGACGTTTTATTCCTTGCGATAGTTTCTCATGTAATTGTTGTGCTCGACCTTTAATTACAAAAATATAAATTGAATAACACATATACAGGGTGACTGGTGAGTTACTATCAATATTTAAGGAGCATACTCGGTACATGATTCTCATTCGAATTATGTAAAAAAAATAGGTACTTAATTTTTGACCAAATTTCCGTATAAATAAATAAAGTTTGGACACGTGCCTTGCCGGCGCCAGTGTGTCGCTACTCCCCAACCCCCGCCCCGTGGCTAGCGGGCCATTAGTCGGCTATTAGTCGCGCGAGCGCCGCCGTAAGGTCCGTACGTTCGTCTTCCCGCGCGCGCGCCTAGTGATCGATCTTACGCGTATACCTAATAATAATCTGTCGTGTGTGCGTGTGACCCGTTATTACTTATTAGTAATTAAATATGGCTTTTCAATACACAAATGCAGAATACTTGGACATGGTTCATGCGTATGCGCGTGCAAATGAAAGCTTGCGGGGCGCAATCAATTTGTACCGGGAGATGTTCCCCAATCGTCGAGTACCTACGGCCAGCGTCATCTTAAACGCTAATCAAAGATTACGAGACTTCGGACAGTTCCGTGTTCCAACACATGCCCAAGGAAACGTCTTGTGTATGCTACAGAGTATGTAAACAGAGAGGAGTTGAAATTAAAAATCAATAGTGATTTCAAAACTATTAAAAGTGACCCATTCGTATTAAATCGTGTGAAAGACAATATGTGTAAACGTGCCGAACTGTGTATCACACGAGAAGGAGCTCACTTTGAACATTTGTTAAGGTTAGTGTAGTTATGTAGGTAAATAGGTAGTTTAATGATTGACAATTGTTGTAAATAAGTATGATTCCATTTTTAAATACGCCGGAAATACCAAGATAGGTAAACAGTTCATATTTTTTTTGTGTCAAGGTCACACCATTTACCTAGTCAATAAATTGGTTGCTTAAACGAAAGAAATATCTTGGTATTTTTTGCCTGTCCTAAGCCAGGATTAAAGTATGAAGGGAAATGGATCATTTTTGTTTATCTAAGGTCTAACACGCGGCGGCGCGCGGCGTTTGGATGTAGGTAAACTACCGCGCGATAACTACATATACCTACGTACATAACTGTTTTGTGTCGATAACGCAGCTAGGGTATCCACGCGATCCGTAATTAATTACATAACTTTTGGTTAACTTTACTTAGAAGTTTATTAATATTTATGTTATATTAATTTTTATTTTGTCATATATGATCGTCAACTACCACGTCCTTAAATATTGATAGTAACTCACCAGTCACCCTGTATAAAATTATGATAAATAAATTAGGACCATAAATGAACATTTTGACAAAAATCTGTTAGATGTGAAACCTTTATGTCGAATTACACTACGCGCATTTTAATATTGTAAAAACTACATACTCCCGACTTTTCGGTTACTTTTCAGCAACCATGATCACGGGCAGACGAGATATAACTATTTACAATAATGAAATTACAATAATGAAATACGCGTAGTATAATCCAAAAACTATCAGTTTCATTTAAATGAATACTAAAGTCTTGGATCTATAGATGTGAAAGATTTTGTAGCAATATGGGACCATTAAGTATTTTTTTGTTTGACACCAAAATTAGTGACCAATTTATAATGACCTACCAGGATCTCTAGCCACTAGAGCTTCAAGTACTACGAGGGTATCCACTCTTTCAGCCCAGGTCATTCCAGCTAGTGCCGTTTCATACTGGTCTTCTAAACTCGCTGCTAGCGAACCCAAGTTCTCTGATAGAACTTGAGGTGGATCTTCTATGAGGATTTCAGCATCCGTCTATAAATATATTAGGGTTTTTGGATAAGGAATGATAAAGAAATTATATTTAAATTAGGAAGTTAAAGAATCTGTAACTAAAGAAAAATTTCGTTCCATTTATGTACTTTAACTATTATTTCTATTATCGTTAACTGGATAGAATTTGGGAATGGATGTGTTATCGTTTACGGTGAATAAATTAATATGAAGTGCTATCTATTATTGTTTTTTACGAATAACATTTTTATTCTATCAATGCTTTCTATTTTTTTGACAGAAACACAGCAATGATGTCACCACCGATATTAAACATATATAAATATATTGTAATTTGGTACATTTTTAGCTAAATATTAATGAAATTTTGATTATTGTAGACCACCCAAAATAGATTTATCTAAAATACAATAAATTTATGAGCCTCTTATAACTTATACTAAAAGCTCATGCGGATTACGTCATCACTTAAACTCGTATTAAAAACTCAAAGTTGATAGTTACCTCTGTATCATCAGTTTCAGTATCAATATCTATATCCGAGACTTGTTGCAGCTCCAGGATTTGTCTGTTCAATAAATCTTCTTCAGCACAAAGTTTCCTTTGATCGACTTCGGACTGGAAATCTAATGCTAAACTTATTTTCCTCTCGTTTTCCTCAATTTGTGACGTCATCGCGGCTATTTCGGACATTTCCGATGGATCCGCGGACTTCAATATCTCATTCTGGTCAGCGATTTGATCGTCTTCTTCCAGATATTTGAATGTTGATTTGAATTCAGCCTTCCATTTGTCGAAATCGAACGCCTCTTCTGTGCTTTCCTGTGATCTAGCCAACGCGGATGTTAGGCTTTCTAATGAAGAGTGCAAGCGGTTCTTAGTTAGATCAGACATATCGTCATCTTTGTGGGAGTCTTTGACCTTTTCAGCTTTTTTGGTTAGTACTTTGTTTCTAGAAGATTTCGTCTTTAAGCCAGTGACATCCGATTTTTGACGTATCATTGATGGATCGTTAGTTTTATTCTCCGATTTCAGTTTTGCGACAACCTTAACAACCTTTTCTGGTTTTTCAATTTTCTTTTCTTGAAGTTCAGGTTTCTGTGGTTGTTCAGAACCAGTTATAACTTTAGTCAGCGGTGGTTCGACTTGAGATTGTGGTTGTTCAGACTTAGCTCGATCTACATTAACAGGTTTTGGATTCAAGATGCTGTTGTCTTCTTGTTTAGGAGATTCGAGCATGTTTAATGTAGGTAGGCTCGTTGTAGCAGAGGGCTGATTGAATCTGTTAGCCCAGTGGGATTTTGAATGCTTTTTAGATTCACGGCTAAGACGACGAGATTTGACTGTAAGCCAGCCTTCGTTGTCGTTTTTATTGCTATCGACGTTTAGAACCTCGATAGAATTGGCAACATCTTTCAAAACCTGATGATCTTCGGATACAAGTGTTTTCAGACTCTCACTTGATTCTATACGTGACATGTCGATCTGAGTTATAACGCTGTCGGAACTACTGTAATCTTTGCAATCTTTTACTTTCTCCAAAGCTTGATTAACTCTATTCTTCTTCTCTTCTTTTTCTTTAACGATCAGTGATGTTGGTCTTGGTGGACGTTTTTTGAGATTTTCTTTGCCAGTTACAGGTTTAGCATCACCGCCTGCCATATTTTGGTTGCTTTTTATTATAGGGCGCTTTGCTACGACAGGTTTAGTAGCAGGAGTGGTTGGAACACCATCAAATAGGGTGGTACGACCTGTTGTCAAATTGAATGGGTAACTGCATTTATTGGTTTTCTTTTGTGAGGTTTTTGGAGGCTTTGGTACAGTATTTGGTCGTATTTCTACAACAGTTGAGCTACGAATGAGTCGAGTTGGAGTTTTGACTTCATTCTTTGTCATATTTACGGCTTTGGGTTTAGCAACTGCTTGTGAATAAGCAGGTTTTGACTGTTTAGAATCATTATTTTGCTTGGTGTCTAATTTTTTCACTTCCATTTCTTTTTTCACGTCAACTTCATCTTTAGACAACAGGGTCACTTCCTTTGTAATATCTTTTATTTCCTTCGATTTCTTATCATTTTCGAGAATTTTTTGCACATCTTGAATGTGATTTTTTATATTTTCTTCCTGTACGTTATCTAATGCCAAAGAAAAATCATTTTTGGTTTTGATTTCATTATTCAGATGAGAAGGACCATTAGCTACTGTTTTGGCCACCAAGGCAGAGATTTTTCTTATTTCTTCAACATTATTAAAGTTTAATCCAGAATTTATCTTTTCAGTATTTACGTCGCCCCAGCCATTACTAATGGCAGTTTCACCATTTGATATACCTTTTTTGTCTTTTGCATTAACTGGCTCTATGTTATTATTATTGATAATATTCGTTTCAATTTTATTTTGCGGTTCTTGGTCTTGAAGATCTTTTTTTATAGCAATAGAATCTTTTATTTCAATTATCTGTTTCTTGGGTTGAGCAACCTTCTTTTCTTCGTTTTGCTTTGTATTGGAACTCGATGTTTTTTTGCCTTTATTTTTTTGATCTTTTTTAATATCTGGTTCCTCCACTTCAGACTTGGGAGAACTTTCGCTTGATATATCTGCGAAATTATCTTCAGACTTCGTCGGCGACTCTGAACATGTGTTATCATTTTCTTCAATTTTAATCTCAATTTTTTTATCTTCAGGAGACGTAAATGTAAGATCGGATTTAATAACGATCTCTTGATTGATCATATTATCATTCTTAACTTGACTTTCAATAAGATTTTTCTTCAAAAATTCGTTTTCCATTGCATCCAACTGTGAGATAGTTGTTTTGCATTGATCTGAAATTTCATTTTCGGTAGTTTTCGTCTCCGTTACTTTAGGTTTGGCAAATTTTATAGCAACTCTTTGAGGAACAGCGTTCTTCACTTCTTTAGTCAGACCAGTTTCGATGGTAGTTACTTTAGTATTTTCGTCTGACAAATTATCTTCAGTGTCATTCTCATCGCATGTTAGTTTCACCTCTTTTTCTTTTATATCAGAGAGTCTTGATTCTTTAGCGATTTTTGGCTCCGGCTTTGCTGTGATTTTAGAAGCGACCAGCTTGTTGGTAAAAAACTCCACGTTAGCTTTAGGACTAGATGTAGGGTGAGCGATCCTTGGACTTATTTTGCCGCTACCTGGGCTCGCTTTTCCCGTCAAATTGGGACTATTTTTGCCACTTGGGGTGTTATGTCCTGATAAACAGGGACTATTCTTCCCTGATACCGAAGGCGAACTTTTCATGGAATAAGTACGTCGTGATTCTGGTCTAACGAAATCAGTTTTTCGTATCTCCCAAGCTAAGCTTTGCGGTCTTTGCGGTGGTGGAGTATTATCATATTCCCATTTCAATCGAAACCATTCACCTAAAGCCTTGAAATCTCGTGTATAGTTCTCAAGTACTAGTATAACTTCTTGGCACTCGTTTAAGTTTTCGTGAGCTTCCACAGTATTGTAGATTTCGCCAACCTGGGAAAGGTATCAATTATTGATGAATATTATAACAATACGAAGGTTATCTGCGATTGATTTTCTTGGATATAGCTTACTGCACGTTGCAAGTCTCCGAATAATAAAGCCCAGTATCTCGCTCGTAATTCGGAACGCTTATCACGACCGGCTGATGCAGATCTTAGACGTGTTGTCCGCGGCGCTGCTCGACGAGGAGGTGGTAATGCTCGAGGAGGTTTTCGTGAAACACGAGCTGAAATAAAGACTTATAAAGAAACTACTGTTTTATAAGAGAATTATTTATACTATAATGCCATAAGTATAATTCAGAATAAGAACAAAGCCTAGTCATCGGCCTATCAGAGCCCACTGATGAGTAAAGGCCTCTTCTCACATCTAAAAGGTTTGAGCATTAATCACCACGCTTGCTCAAGACGGGTTGGTCATTAAAAGCTTAAATTGTGCAATTTTCAGTTCAGGTTTCCTCACGATGTTTTAAGAACAAAGCAAATTCATAAAATATGTAATATTAACGTCATTATACATCAAGTCGTACATTCGCCTCGGGACATAGTTTAGTACTGAACATCTAATAGCATTTCATAAACAACACAGACAGCAGAGCGATAGTAAAAATAGAAAACTAAAGGATCGATATTCGGATGCAATATACAAGGTTGAGTCAGAAAGGTTCAAGACACATATTGATTAATATACTTGATATGTTTTTAAGGACAACGCTTCTTTAACTACGCTATAATATAGATTTAAATTACTATTAAGAATTCGACGTAAAACTCGGCTGATAAACATTAATTCACAATACATATGTATATAAATATCCCTAATTACAAATTTTGGAGTAAAATGATGTTTCGTTTGTTAAATCATATTATATCAATGACTATTAAAATTGATCCCATTTAACATAAAATTGATTTTTTAATTCGTATTATTTTGCACAAAAAACAAATTACTCCTATGAATCAATATGCCATTCAAAAGTATCAAAGTAAAATAATTATAATATTCTTGAAATAAATAATGAAAATTATAAATAAAATTCGCTTTGTAGTAATTTCAAGTAATTTCAACAACAAAAAAGTCAAATACCAAAAAAATAAGTATTTGCATGACAGCATATGACACAAAATAGTTTTTATAATAAGCTATATATGTATAAAGTGACAAAATTTTTCACCATACAATGTGTTTATATGCGTGTGTCAGGTCCATTGTTGTAGTGAGAGGAGCTTCAACAGTGACTGGGACTTGTGACACAGGTGTAGGTTTAAGAACCTATCTAACGCGTTAAACGCTCACCTCCACTGTCCAAACTCCTCTCTCTACCAATTTTTAACTTTTTAAATTATATCCAATTACTCATATTTCAAAGTAATTCATTAATATTGATATAGTCTCTTATGATTATATCAATAAAAACTATTGTTAGAACTGCAATGTCGAAAAATACAAAAAAATATTTAAGTATAATCCATTAAATTGCATCGAAAAAAGAAACAAAGAAGTATAGAATATATATAAAAATACATATTTATTTGTAAAGAATCATAACATAGGGCCCATAAATGTATAAAGCCATCTTTTTTAGAAGTTTTCAATGCTTTTAACAATACAAAATATATTTCAATTGTACTTTAAATAAATAATTACTGAAACAAAATAAAAACAATTAAAACTAAAAAGGCTTGTGCAAATTTTAATCTTTTTATCTGTTTTTATACGAAAAAATTGTGTTATAATAAAACTGGTATTATTTAAAAAATACAGTAAATAAACTAATATTCTCTAATCCACTATCACATTTTTTATTATTTTAAAGTACATACTCCCTAAATTTCAGTTACTTTGAAACAACCATGATCACGGACAGACATGATGAAAAAATAAATACAAAAACAAAAAAAAAAGAAATTTAACAATGTGCATGCCTTTGTAGTGTTAATTCTTTTTTTAAAAAAAATGTGTATAAAAGTATAACTAAATGAACTTTCAAAATAATTTCCTACAGAATATGGGAGTATCCCATCTCATAAAAGTACACTCAAATTACCTACAACTCTGGGATTTCTGTCACAAAAATTTTTGAACTGTTTTTAAATCATATGAAATATAAGTGTTATATAGTTTTAATGAAACACAAAGCGAGAGCATATATTTAGATTATTCATTCGTTCAACTTGAATTAATCAAAAAATTATTATGTATACTCGTATAGCATAAAATACTACAACAATATGGTATATTATAGTAAAATAAACATGTTAATATGTTGTATAAGTAAAAAAATTAATTTCGACCTCAATATAATGACAAATTCATACATTCAGAAATTTTCTTATAGAATATAACAATAAATACTACAAAGTATTAGCACAAATGAGTGTGAATGTTAATAAGTTATGGCTAACTGGCTAACTGGCTGAGCATATCTCACAAAATACTTTGTGGCTAACTGTAATGCAATAAGAATTTCACTTTAAAAATAATTATAATAATTATTATCTTTATTAACATACTTAGATATGGAATTTATAATAAAATAGTTTTATTCACTTTAAATACTTTTATTATTGATATTAACATATCAAAATTTTTATGTGGCATAGCAGTTACAAATGAAGTCTAATTTTATTTTTATTCCTTAAACACTAGAATACTCTAAAAAGTATGATTATTTTAAAGTTTTATATCTATTCACATTGACAGAATATACTTCAATACCATGCAAATTCTTAATGTTGACAAAGAGGGTATCAACAAAAAAGGTTTACTTAATTTCATGTGATAATTATGTTTTAAAATATATATCATTTTAACAATATTTAAGAGAGCATATTAGAGTTTTTATATTGCAAAATACTAGATATAACTATAATTGGTCATGCTCAGCCAACAATCATCTTATTACACTGAATAATTGGAAAATGAATTGAATTACTCAGTAAGAAAAAACAAGGCACTGATTCATCTCAATTTGTAATATTAAGATAATGTCAAAATAGATAGATGGCAATGCAGCCAGAAGCAACAAATGGACAATGCCAAATAAATACTATTGTTTATTTTTAAAAATGAGTTTATAATTTCAAACAAAAACGAAAATTTTATCCAGTAAGTTTTTTTTAAATGTCTATTCAGTATGTGTAACAGGTGTAATAAAAGAGAATTTTGCTTAAAATTTTCTCTTAAAAGAAAAACAAGAGTAGCAGTCGTTGTCTCTATTAGTTTTCCAGCCACTAACGCCCACGGAGAACGTACACTTTGCAATAGACATCTATACATATTAATAGTTATCAGACAATCAAATATTGATTTACCTGGCGTGTCCACGGAAACATGGAAGGCGACCAGGTTTCTCGCCTCCCTGCCCTCTTCCTGCACCAGTTGTCTCACTTCTTCCATTTTAAATGTATAAAAATGTTAAATGATTATATTTAGCGAAAAACAAACGTTAAAACCGTATACATTGCTCTCGCGTATAACTAAGAACAAAACAACACAATGTTAAAATAATAAGAAAAACGATGAAAAATAAGCTTTAAATAAAATAACTATGGAAAATATTTATATTTTTGATCACCGCAATATCGCGAAAAATCAACGTTAAAATATTTTCATAACAATTCGCGATTTGACAATTTGATGTTTTTGTATTTTTTTCTATGAACATCTTGCATTCACAGGAAATGGTTCTAAATTATTGTGCCAAAATAAAATAAATATATTTATTTTAAGATTATTATTACCTTATCTAGTTACAAATAATTTTTAATTTCATATAAAATAATTTTTTTTTAAATTTATAATTTCAAACCAACTTAATAATGTTGAAGTATAATTTAAGATTATCTGTGGGGCACAAGTCTTCATAGTGTAATTTTTAAGCTGTAGTATTTCTTTTCATTGTCAGGCAAAATGGCGGATCAGGTAGGTGGAGAGTTTTTGCGTTAAAAATGTGTTTCTTTTACTAATATTTAATATTAAATACATCTATTTACAGTATAAAATGCCGCGGAAGTGCTGTATAAATGAAAAACTTAAATTCTGTGTTCAAAAATATATAAAATGTGTCTTTCAGTATCCACGTGGGATTAGGTTGTTTAACTATTTTTTCATAATTATTCTAAAGTAAACTTCACTCAAATTATAATTATCTATACTTTCTAAATTTGCTAGTGGACAATTTTATTACATACAAATTCTATTAATTCCGTATACAGTTGTTTTCATTCCATATAGGTTATCTGTGTATACGCTGAAATAAAGTCGATTTAATAACTAACAGGTTACAATATAGCTGTAACGTAACGTAATTAACGATTATTGCAGACCGAACGTTCGTTTCAAAAGCAACCGACTGTCTTCTTGAACCGTAAGAAAGGCATCGGTGTTAAACGAAGCAGGAAACCGCTTAGATATCATAAAGATGTCGGCCTCGGTTTCAAGACTCCCCGAGAGGTAACGCATGGAGTGTTATTAACATATTTCTTCTTTTTTTCCGTAGACAGAGAAAGCGTTTCAGAAACAGGCTACGGTTTTCCTTAACCGTAAAGGCGGCCTGAAGCGGAAGGATATGAGACACCACAAAAATGTCGGTTTAGGTTTCAAGACGCCGCGAGAGGTCTGAATTACGATATTATAACATCATGGTGGAAGGTGGTGGCTTCGTCGCTAACTGTGGTTGCTAGACGGTTCATTTAACTTGTATATTTATATGAATATTTATATATATTCAGGGATAGTGCAAATCCGCATATCTACCTTGGAAGCAGATAATCAGAAGAAAGTTTGAGCTGAAATATTTTCTACATTAACGACTTTTAAGGTAATTTTCTCACAATTAGTAATTATTTTATGTTTAATTTATTACTAATTGTGAAAAAATTACCTTTAAAGTCGTTAATATAGAAAATATTTCAGCTTAAACCTTCTCCTAATAATCTGCTTCCTTAGCAGATACACGGAATTATCCAATAGAAATAACACATATTTGCATTATCCCCGATGATATATATGTAATAAACATAGCTTAATTCTATTATCAACAAAAATCTTCACTAATACTTAGACTTATTTTTATATACACAAGCTGTGTTTAGTATAAACATTAAATATATAAGTTAAATTTTCCCATCCATGAAGGTGCTAGTCGATGTCCTATATATAATCTAACAATAGCTTAAGATATATATTTAAGTGCTTATTTATATGTAAATTTAAGTATTAGCATATTTCGGTTAATATGCAATTATAAGCATACATTTTATTAAAACTGTGCTTTAATGAAGCATTCATGATTATTAAGCTGAAAAATATTGCATGTAGCTTATATATAGCTAATGAAGGCAAATTATGAAATGAATGCTTAGTATGGGATAAGGCTGGTTGCATGCTATCTGCATGTTTACATATATATGATTGTCAGTTCATATGAGAAAATTGGTGGAGGTTATAATATATCATTAAACATATATATATACAGCTGCGTGCAAAAGTATTAGGCACCCCTATTGATAGTCACTATCTCATTATATTGCGGTCAAGTTTGTGTTTTATGGTTTAGCTATTGTATTAGCGGCAATTTTTAACCAAATTAAGATAAAAGAAAATATTTATGACATCCAGGTGTGCTCCTAAGCGGTGTTTCTTCGAATTTGCTTTTTTTGCGTTTCGGGTTATAGTGTGTTATCAGTGCTTGCAGTGAACATACACGTCTTTTACGCAACGATTCCTATCACAATTCTAAAGACTAACATTTAACGTGTTAATCATGCCGAAAAAATCTGAACTTAGTGCTGAACAGCGTCTAAGAATTAAGATTTTACATGAACAAGGCATGTCTCAGGTTAAAATAGCCCGAGAAGTGAAGTGCTCGCGATGTGCAGTTCAATATGCTATAAATCGCTTCAAAGAGACTGGCACCCATGAAAAAAGACCAAGAACAGGCAGAAGAAAAGTTACTACTGAACGGGAAGATCGATTGTTGATTAGGCAGTCTCTACAAAACAGGAAAAAAACTGCTTCAGAGCTCGCTGCAGCATTATCTGAGGCAAAAGGCAGCTCAGTGAGTGTTTATACTGTGAGAAGAAGACTTCTTAAAGCTGGATTAAAAGGATGTAAAGCAAGGAAGAAGCCGTGGCTGTCAGAACACAATAAGAAAAATCGGTTGGAGTGGGCACTCAAACATAGAGATTGGTCAGTGGAAGATTGGTCCAACATACTGTGGTCAGACGAATCTAACTTTGAGGTATTGTTATTAATTTTATGTACAATATTAAAACACATAAATGTTTTTAAAATAACGTACTGCAAGAAAAATAATAACTTTGAAAATAAATGTGTTTTTTTCCTTTTTCATAGGTGTTTGGAACACCCGGTGTGACTTATGTTAGGCGAAAGGTTGGCGAAGAATACAACACAGAATGTGTGGTTCCCACTGTTAAGCATGGTGGAGGCTCAATAATGATCTGGGGCTGCATGGCTGCCGACGGAGTGGGCGAGATGGTGTTGTGTGAGGGACGAATGAATAGTGTTAAATACACTGAAGTTCTGGAAACAGCACTAGCAACGTCGATAACGCAAATTTTCGGTGATACAAACACCGATGGCCTGAAATTTCAGCAAGACAACGCCACTTGCCACAAGTCCGCGCATACCATGAAGTGGTTTGCTGAAAATCATATTGATCTTTTGGACTGGCCACCACAATCACCAGACCTCAACCCGATTGAGCATATTTGGTCCATTTTAAAGAAAAATATCCGCAGGCACTCGATTAGCAATAAACAAGCTCTATTGGCCGCGTTACAGCAGGAATGGAAAAATATATCAAGAGAAGAATGTTTCAGGCTGGTAGAGTCAATGCCAAAAAGAGTGGCTGCGGTTATTAAGTCAAAAGGTGGACCTACAAAATATTAATTATTTTCTTAAAATAAACCATTGTAATCATAAATGCAGTTTTATTTAGACTCGCTATGCTAAAACACCCTAAAACTTGTCTTACTGTAGGGTGCCTAATACTTTTGCCCGTGGCTGTATAATATGATGAAATTCACACGACGGTCTTCTGATTACTACATGAAGAAGACAGTGTTTCTAAACCAAAAATTCTGATTTAAATTATTAACTGCCTATTATGTTACTTAAATTATCAACATATGTATATTTTATAGTAAGTTTTTATATTAATCATTAAGAAAGTATATTAATAGGCAGTTCTTAATATATATATCAATATCACAGCATGGGAAACATATATATATATTTATTATAACTATCATATATAATTTTATAGGCAATCGAAGGAACATACATTGACAAGAAGTGTCCATTCACCGGGAATGTTTCAATCCGAGGCAGAATTCTCACCGGTGTTGTACAAAAGATGAAGATGCAAAGAACAATCGTCATTAGACGTGACTACCTTCACTACCTACCTAAATACAACCGTTTTGAGAAACGACACAGGAATATGTCGGTACATCTATCACCCTGTTTCAGGTAAATTTTAAACTAATTTATTATGTTTTAGGGTTGCTATAACATTAAAATTAATATATATGTATAATTTTTTGTGTTACCAGTTCACAAATGTGTGCAAGGCTAATATATTGCTTATAAGTACTATAAGGTCAAGTAATGTTTGGCTATAATTTTTCATAATAATTCATTGTCACAGAAAGTAAATTAAAGATTTTATCAGTCAAGAATTAAAATACAAAATTGAATTTACTTAACATATTTTAAGTAATTAGTTGCATTGCATATTCAAAAAACAAAATGACTATTCTAAAATCACTATGTATAATCTTAGATAAAGGTTGAAAGGATTTGTAATAAAAATATAATCTCCTTTGTAAATAGTTTATTAATATGGCGATTATACATAATTCTGTTCTATATATCTTCCAATATAAAAAAATTACTTGAAAGTTATTTTTTAAATGATGATACCCACACGACGGTCTTCCGAATACAAATTGACGAAAGACGTGTTTACCCAAACTCTGATTGACATTATACAGCCAATTAGTTATATATTATTTTAATTGTTATTCATATATTTGTATATATATTTACAGGGACGTCGAATTGGGAGACATCGTTACCATCGGTGAGTGCCGGCCACTGTCTAAGACTGTGCGTTTCAACGTACTCAAAGTCTCCAAGGGCAAAGGCTCCAAAAAGTCTTTCAAAAAATTCTAATAAAATTACTTGATAAGTAATCATCGTTTTATTTCCTGAGCATCATTTATTCCACGTACTTTTTTGGAGTGAAAATTGTAATGCGACTTTCAACAAGGTTGCGTTAAACGTTAAACTCAGAGAGGGATAATAAGAGTGACTCGGTAGATTACAAATACATGCACATGGTAATCTTGCTATGCAGCAAAGTAAAGTGTGAAGTAGTGGATTTAACTAAAATATGTATGTACTTGTTCTACATTATTTATAATATTCATTATTTTTTCAGTTTGATTAGATACACATGTAATAGAGCAGTAGTTTTTCAACTTGATAATTGTTTTACAAAGTTTCATTTCTAGTAACTTTTTGTAATACTCATAAAGATATGGTTTAACACTCTTTGGAACAATAATTTAAATATGTATGTAATAACTTACGGTAGCTAGATAAAGTTAATTCCATTAATATATGCTAAGAAACATGCTGTATTTAAAATTTCTTTTGTAAACATATTCAACTAAAGTATTAGTAAGTAAACATGGAAAAAATATATAGAGTATTGTCTGAAAATTATAATACATAAATCTCTTATTAAATTACTTATCATATAAATAATGCTAATAGAAACGAATTTAATATATTTAAATTTTTAGATTATACCTACCAGACTAAATAGTTACTAAACTATGTATAAGAGGTTTAATAATTTTAATTTAGAAATAATCCCATGGTTCAGTCAGATTTTAACGAGAGATACTAATGATTTGAAGTACATATATTACATACATAATGTACATATATAATGTTATAAAAAATTGCAGCCATAACTTCATAAAGTATTAATTTTTTATAGTCATACTAGCTTTCCGCCCGCAGCTTCGCCCGCGTGGTATTCGGTTATATCGCGTTTCCAAGAGAACTTTTCAAAAGTCTGAGATAAAAACTATCCTATTTTCTTTCTCAAGGTCAACTCTATCTCTGCACCTAATTTCTTTAAAATCAGTTCAGTGGTTTAGACGTGAAAACGTAACAGACAGAGTTACTTTCGCTTTTATAATGTTAGTAGGGACGAAAAATGTGTGCCAAGTAAACGATTTCAATATATCATACGTTATTAATTGAAATACTGAACACGTTGAAATTTAATACTGAGTAGAAACTCGATTAACTCGACTAATTGTTGTTAGGCATTCGGATAATCCAATGTATGAAGAAAAGCGGGTTTTGTTTATATCTAGTAGGTACATAATATACTTTTATTAAAAAAACACAACTAATACATATCGACGAAAATCAATGTTTATTAATAAAAATTAAAGAATACATTTTCTTAGATTACATGTATGCTCTAAAAGCTACAGCATTTATTCTGAAATAAAATATAAAGGTCGTCAAATATCCCTTCCGCTTTTTTGCTTCTTATTCAATCTTGTCTAGTCTTGAAATGTTCGTGAAGGTTCAGGGAAGGTATTTAAGCTGAAAAAAATTTATTAATTACTGGGAAAACCATAAAAACAGCCCTTTTCTATTTCTCATACAAACGTTTTCTTTGACATTAGATTTGACAACTAACTGATATGTCAATTCTGTCGCACTTCAAAACACGGAGATTTATGGCTTACAGGTAACTCAGAAAATATAAATAAAAAAAACGTTATAGATATTTCTTGATTATAGGGCGATACGAAGTTCGCCAGGTCTTCTAGTGCTTTATAAAGTGTTACAGTGTTCGGATTTAGTTCAAATATGCGGCGTTTTGTTCGATAATCTGTTTCCATCTAGACGGCGACTTCATAATACCTCCCTCGTAGAAGCCCCCCTAGTTATTTGCGAAAAACTCGATCAGCAAGTTTTCACAAGCCTATTTTGAGTTGAACTTTACACCACCAAGGGCATTTGCCATGGATAGGAACATGTGGTAATCACTTGGCGTTATCTCTTCTTCTTCCTGGCAATTTCCCAGCTTCAGCCAGGGTCTGCCTAAAAACTATGTCCGGGCTATATGGTGTATGCGATTAAACCTCCCATAGCTTCTGATGAGTCATCAACGAAGTGTGTGGTCTGGCGTTGTCTTAGTCGAACACTAAATCCTTCCTGGCCAATTCTGGACGCTTCTGTTCGATCGCCAGTAGTTCGCAGTAGATGGTAGAATTAAGCGTTTTGTATATTGGAGCAGTTCGTAGTGGATGATTCTTTCCCTTCCAAACACACAGAAAAATCTTAAATTGTCGTATGTGATCCATTTTTCGTTGCCAGTTTTTTTTTGTATCCAGCCTTTTGCAGATGGTTTAAAATGGTTTGGTGATTAACTCCCATCTACTAAGCGATATCACGAGATGCCATATGCCGGTCTAACTCGATGTATTCTGTATGTATGTTATGATATTTGTTTTATATTGCTTGAATTTTTTGTTTCCATGTAAGTGACTTTCTATCTTTTTGGAAAATAAAGATCTCTAAACCTATTTGTCGTCACAGGGCCGGTTAAGAACAACACCTGCTAATGATAACTATATTTAGAGATTTAGAGATTACACTAAAAAAACCTGCAAGTATCCATCGGATGTTGATGATGTTTGTGCAGTCATACAAACACAATTAGGTGATGAACCACAAACAAAAAAATATAAAAGAAAAAATATATTCAAAAAGCTGATTTATATCATACATTTAATAATTCATAGTTGGTGCACCAATGTTAACAGGCTGCTTATGGGAAAGTTTACAAATTGTCAAAATAATGAGGATAATGTTAAGTCCAAGCAATTACATATTATAATACTCACAAAAAGAAAAAAATAAATATTTGAATATATGTTCTGCTTTTAATTTTAATTATTTTATTAAGTGTGCAAAGTGAATAATGTTAATAGAGGCAAAAACACCAGAAATTGGATTTTTGAACCTATGCACATTATTTATTCTTACATATTTCAATTTTATTATTAACTTTAATCAACCAAAGATTAAAGTTCACCTTGTATTTTCAACTAATTATGTTTGCATGCAGTGTTTGCTTTTAACTGATTTTACACCATTTATGCATGTTATTAATTTATATGTAACTTTATTTAATTATTCAATTGTGTAAAAATCGCTAGCGAACTTAAATAAATAAAATGTTAATAATAAAATTGAAATTTGCTTTTTCCCTATTAAATTCGAATAACATTAAGCGCCATCTAATGGTAGCACGTCCTAGCTAGTAAATGCGGCGACATCTAGCGCACACGGGACAAACTGGAACCCACAGTGGCGCATCTATTTCTAATATATAGTGTATTATCTATGGTTATTGTCTTATTACTTCTTTAATATGTATGACCTGGAAATAAAAAATATATTAAAATTATTTTTAGACAGTCCTTATCATTAGATAGATAGATAGATAAACTTCTTTATTGCAAACAAGTAAAGTTGAGAATTAATAAAATAAAAAGACATGAGAAAACATAAGTACACGCAAAGGAGGTTTTATCACTTATAGTGATCTCTTACAGACAACCTCAGGAGTAAAAAGCATGTTAAGTGCAAAGTAAGTTTATATCAACATAATAATAAGTAAAACTTACTACTACTATGAAAAGAATATATACTAACTTGCTAAGAACCGCATATTTCACTTTCATTTTCGGTAATTTATCTTTATATACATATATGTACGTATTTCTGTTAATTTATTTAATAAGCGTATATAACTTTCTCCAACGTCAACCTCTAACATGTGCAAATGACTCCATTTTGCTATTTTAATTTCTTGATTTTGTTGACATCTTAAATTTTTTGTCAATAAATTGTTCCTTAAGCCTTTAAGGAGATGTGGTGGGTCAAAAATTGGTATGATTTTTTTTCCATTTATTTCAAATCCCAAACTTTTCCATTCAGTTCCTTCATGAAAGTAAAGGTACTTCTTCGTTACATATACTAAATTATTTATTACACTTATATTTGTTGGTGACTGGTCATAAATTGTTGATATTACAATCAGTTCAGTGCTTTGTATTTGTGTTATTACATTTTTAATGATAACTTTCAAATCAACACTTTTTGATGCACTCAAACAAAAAGTAAATGAAATTAGCTGTTTATATTTGCTTATAGGCCTTTCAACATAAATACCAAGGCATGGTCTGCTAATTTATTGGTTTTATGTGAACCAAAATCTTCAAATCCAATGATTTCGTCCATATTTTTTTTTTTGGAAAAATAAATCCGGTGATAATGCCACCTCATCAAATATTAAAGTACATAGTTTTTTTTCCATTACTTAATGACTGCTTTTTTAATATGTTCAATAATGATGATATACATCTTAAAATTTTCTGCATGGTTCTTTTAGATGGCAAACAAAATAGTTTTTGTAATATATTATAAGCCTTTTGACTTTGTTTGTATATAGTCAAGCACAGTATCTTCTCCTGTGTAGTAATAAATCTTCTACCTCTTGGCTAAATAGATGATTTTTCCAATTGTGTAAAAAATCTTATTGCTTCTGCAAGATTTTCTATGGCTGTTGAAAATGCCTTATTCTGTGGCAGTCTTTTTGCCTGAAGAATAAGTTTCTTTTGGGCCTTATATCTTTCCTTCAATTTCAGAAGTCGAGCTTTTAACAGCCCGAACTCTTTTGAACAGTTTTGTGTTTGAGTTTGAACTGAAATAAATAAAGTATTTGTTTTATTGTAACATGATAATAAAATATATAATAATGTTTTGGTAATTTTATCTAATAAAAACACTATTGATATGGCATTGCATTATCTGGTAATTAAAAATCTATATTTATCAAAAAAATTAAACAATAAATAGCATGTTTTATGAATATTGTTATAGTTAGTTATGTTTAATTATGTATACAGTAGTATCTAGTAGATTATCTAAAACCAGAATTAATGTTTATTAAAAGACAAAAAATATACACATTTGTCGTTGTGTACATATTACCTATGGACATAATTATTGAATACAATTTTTAATATATTGCAATTTTAATTCATAAATGACTACTAACAAAACCCACCATCAATATTTGCAGAAGAAAATATGAAATAAATCTCGATACTTGCAAATCTAGTGAATCTGTGGTTTAAATTTATATTGTATTTAAAATGATTTATGCTGTTTTATAATTTAAAAGTAAATATAGCAATCATAGTTAATTTTAAGCTTAGTTATATGCCCATAACTTACCTTTAGGAAATAATTGAGAGGAGTTAGGAGAACTCCTTTGTAGCTGAACTTGATTAATATTTAAATCGAAGTGGTGACTGCAAGATGCATCATCGACTTCTTTTTGTGTATCAACACATTTTTCAGTTTCAACTGAATGTGATGAGTGTACATTCTCAAATGTTGATTCAGCTGCTAAAAAAAATATATTTTTTAATACAAATAAATATATTAAAAGAAAAGTTAAATGAAAAATCTTAAAAGTTGAATGTTAACATATTGTCTTGATTGTATTTTCCTTCCTTATTTCTTTTAGAGTTTCTGATTGAATGTAAATAGACTTGTAATTTTTACTGTATTAAACACTGCCATTCTTATATTACATAAAAAACTATAAACAACTTTTTTTGGTTTGTAGTTATCCAGTGGAATTATAATCTCTATATATTTAGAACACTGTTTTTGTTTTACCTATGTAAAAAAGTTACACAAGTAGTTATTTTGTGATACTGTTTGTAGGCACTTTCCTTTATTTAGAAAAAAAAGGTAATAAAGACCGCACATCATAAATCTATCAAACCACATGTAAGTACATAATAATGTTAAGATGACTTGTATACCTATTTCATTATATTCAATTAAATCTAATTTTTTTGTTTTTAATTTGTACACCAATTTCTAAAGTAAAATAATAATTAAGTATGTAAAAATTATCTATAGTTATAAAATACAATTGATTATTTATAGTTATTTTATATTAGTAGTATGTATTGTGTGCCTATAGTTACTTGGGAAGTTGCTTACTTTAGATACTTACTTAAGTATAGAGTTGGTACAGCATTTCGAGTGAGTCTTTTACTTGAAGAACGGTAAAAATGTTCGAAATGACGATCACATATTTTTATATTGTTATAAATGTAAAAATCTTCCTTTTGTTTCATGTCTTCATTTAAAATACTTTTCCACTGAATGAATTTCTCCAAACTTGGGTATTCCGGTTTAGGAAATTGATGAAAAGGACCTGAAATGTTTTTATTAGAAGTCAATAAACTATTACGCTTGAAATTGGTGTAACAAGAGTAGTAATTGATTGTATATATGTATATATGACAAATAATATTTTTATAGATTTTACTAAATAAGTATCGTACCTTTAGTCGCACACCGAAAATAACACTTAATAGCCGATTTTCGTGGCATTTTTTCAACTTATCGATAATCCAAATTCGTAATTTGCAGTCAAAATCCAAATGAGAAGAGCCTGGGTCGATCGTAGTCGCAGAAAACAAAGTCCTATTGAGAAAAGCCGGGGTCGATCGTCAAAAGCGTGGAAATAGGAATCAATATATATTAAGCCGGGTCAAATGTTTGAATAAGAACGTACAGCACTAGAATAACAGTAAGCAACGGCAAATGAGGAACTGAAATAATTTAAAATTTCTCCTAAATCCTAATGTCAAATCAATTTGAGAGCTACTTACGCCATCTATGAAGTTGTTAACGAAAATAGTGTCAAAGTTGTTGTACCTTGTTCGTTAGATTTTGCATTTTCTATACATTCATTTTTTACACGTTAAATTATATGACAGTTTCATCCCCATGACAATAACTAAGAGATCACATAAATACACGTTACATTAAGAGAAAATAATATATAATGTTGCCCGATTTTATGTTTTTTTATTAAACTGCATCATGTATTTTTTTAAACAATTTTTTTTACACATGAAATAAAATAATTTCTAAAAATTTATATATACAACGTTATTAATTAAAATTGATAGATTTAAGGAACACTTAATAATGTACATATCATAAGATATTAAAGGCAGTTGAATCGATTTTAGGGATAAAATCGATTTTGAATGTAAATTTTTTAGCTATGTTACACTTACAAAAAAAGTTATCCCAACATAATAAATATGTCCATCTTGTGAGTTTAGCACGTAGCTATTAGCTATATTGTTTTTGACGACATGATATCGTTTTTCTCAAAACTGTCGTTAAAAAATACTGAAAAACCTACAACGGAGTTTGCGGCGCCAGCTTATATGGATAAAAGTGCATCATTACAGGAACTTGGATACAAAGACGATAATGACTTAAGAGAGACAATATATGGTTCGTTTTAAAACATTCCAAGTGAGTTTTGAAACATTTACGTGTTTTTAATCAGTGTTGTGGTGTTTTAGACTTTTTGCGGACGATACGGGATCCGGAGAAACCTAGTACTCTGGAGGACTTGAAAGTTGTGTATGAAGAAGGTATTTTCGTGAAAGAACCAACTGCAGATAAAGTTCCCGTTTTACGAGTGGAATACAATCCAACTGTTCCACATTGTTCTTTAGCAACACTCATAGGACTCTGTATAAGAATCAAAATACAGAGATCATTACATCACCCCGTCAAACTGGATATATACATAAAAAAAGGAGCTCATACTACTGAAGATGAAAGTAAGCATTATTTATCAAAATATCTTAATATTGTTAAAATTACCTAAAGAATTATAAAATATTTGCTTTGATATAATATCCAGTAGTCTTTAATACCTTTCAAACAATCAAAAGTGTCATTCCAAATAACAATAGATGTTACATATAAAAATAGTGATAATATATTATTATCAAGTTAGATAACAGATATTTTAAGTTCAACAATCGGATAAAAGTGTAGGAATTTGGATATGTAGCTAAATATCATAAATAATTTGATAAGTTCAAAGTCCAAATCAATATTGCATTTGAAGTTTTCTTCCTATGTGTAACATTAATTAACAGAATATGTTGTTTATCTATAATAAAATGAGGCCGAAATTATTACCTTTTCACAATATCAGAGGTTTTTCTTAACTTAAGTTTACATGAGAATATTTTGTTATAAACAATAGTATAAATAACATATTGCTTAATACCAATAACTTATTCTAAAGCTCATTAAATTTAGTTACTTTCCAATTCCACTTATATTATAATCATTTACAGTTCTTGTTGCTCTAAAACTTGACAGATAATGATGAAACTTTAAAGTAATGTAGTTTAAATATCTGATTAAGATATCAGCTATAATTTATTACTTAACTTCATTAGTTCCCATAGTATCATGTGTAAATAGTAGTATGTAGACATGTGACACATATTATAGATTAGTCTGACAATTGGTTATCATAATATCTTTATATATTTTTCTCTTGAATTGAATACCAAATACATAAACAATAACGAGATAAACTATCACAAGTATTCATGAAAATAAAACCAATAGTTTTGGATTACTATGTATGATTTGAAAACTACATACTCCCTATATTATGGTTACTTTGCAGCAACCATGATCATCATGTCTGCATGTGATGATGGTTGCTGCAAAGTAACCAAATATAATAAAAAAATGCATAGTAACCAATAAATATTAGTGTTATTTACACACAAACATTCAATTAACACTCACTCACACTCAAATTTAGTAAGCTATACAAGTTTTAAAGAAAATCTATTGCTAATTAATAGAAATGCTATTTATCTTAATATAAAATACCTAATTATTATAAATCTATATATATAAAAGAAAGTTGTGTTAGTTTCATTATTTAGAACTCAAGAATGGCTGTAGGGATATATTTGAAAATTAGTTAAAAAGTAGACAAAACAAAAAAACAAGGAGACTGATATAAGATATTTAATTCAGTTTGATCAAAACAGAAAAACAATAATAATAAACTACAATATCTAGTTAGTTATAGCCTTGAGGGCAAAATAAAGTTTGCCTGGTCAGTTATACATATGTATATTACTAATCCCGAAATTATTGTGGACAAAGTCGCAAGCAAACTCTGCTTAATAATAAAAATCAATACAGAATTATTATGTATTACTGTCAATATTCAAACTGCAACTTACATATAACTTTATACCAGGAAATGGTAAACATAATTTTGTTGTAAATGACATTTCAATGTGGGTTGCATTCCTTAAGAAACAGTTTTCAAGTAACTTTACAACTTTGTTATTTAAACTTATACAAGATATAAACAAAGTTGGCTTTGTTCAGTATTAATATATGATTTGACCTCTATATTATGTATTTTTGATTATTATGATCAGATTTCTTTTTACATGCATATATTATACGTCAGTGGTGGCCTAGTGGTTAAAGGGGCCGCCTCTCGATGCCGAGGGCGCGGGTTCGATCCTGGCAAGTACCAAAGTGATTTTTCTGAGTCATATGTACTTTATAGGAGTATTTAGACACCACTGACAGGTGAAAGAAAACATTGTGAGGAAACCTGGACTTATAATTTCACAATTATAAGTTTGAAAGAGGCTTTTGCCCAGCAGTGGGCTCTGATAGGCTAAAAAAAATATTAAGGGAAAGAGAAATCATGAATTTTATTTATTTTATGGCTAGGCGAATAACATTATTGACTGACTTAAAAGAAAGGGGGTTCTGACTTGTTAATATTGGTTTTAGTTTATTATCAATGAAATATATAAATTTTGATATTGAAATGAAAATTTAATAATATTATTATTACATAATTAACCAATAAATTTGTTAATTCATATTTATTAAAACATCATAAAGAAATATCCCAAAATCATAGTTATTAATAATAATAAAATATATAATATATACCTATAATTGAAATAATGTCTTGGAAATTAAACCAGTGTTCTTTTATACAGGGTGACTGGTGAATTACTATCAATATTTAAGGAGAATACTCGGTACATGATTCTCATTCGAATTATGTAAAAAAAAATAGGTACTTAATTTTTGACCAAATTTCCGTATAAATAAATAAAGCGTGGACACGTTCTAAGTGTTCCAAGTGTGTCGCGTGCGGCGGCGTGCTGATACAACACCACGCCGCCAAACGCGTATGTGTGTGTGTGTGTGTATACCTAATCTGTAGGGTGTTCACACGATGCGTAATTAATTACATAACTTTTGGTTAACTTTACTTAGAAGTTTATTGATATTTATGTTATATTAATTTTTATTTTGTCATATATGATCGTCAAATATCACGTCCTAAAGTATTGATAGTAATTCACCAGTCACCCTGTATATAAATCCTCATTTGTGAACATTGAAAACATAATATTTATAAAAAAAATACAAAGATTTTTTTTGTCTGTATTTTAATATTTGTCATTACCTATAAAATAAAATTGCATTTTTTTTAAATAAATTAACTTTAAAATCGTAAAGAATACGTGTTGGTATGGTATATGTAGGCTACTATAGGTATAATATAAATTTATTGTATCTATCTTAAAAATATATTTACATATTTCTTACTCATAAAAATACAACTTTACAGAAACTCTTACACATAATGTGTGAATTTGAAATTAATAATAAGATTCAATATTAAAATTGATTTTTATTGAGTGCAATCATAAAATATTCGTTATAATGTACAATGTCAACTATTTATGTTTTATAAATACTAAGTGAAGAAATTCTATCCATACATAAAATTGTTTTGATGAACCTGATATCACAATACTTAATATAAACATTAATTAAAAATATAATGACTTTGATATATTTTAACATAAAAATATTAATAATAATAACAATACTATTTCTTTTTTTTCAGTCAACAAGCAAATCAATGACAAGGAAAGAATTGCAGCCGCTATGGAAAATCCCAATTTGAGAAATCTGGTAGAGAATTGCATCGCTGACGAAGGATAGATATATTTGTTTATAAATAGTTTTATAGATATTAAAACTGTAGATAGTAATTTACAGGTGTTTGTATTTTAATATAGTATATCTGTTAAAAATGGCGCCGGACGCAGCATTTTCAAATATAAGCGACAAGAATGAATTCACTAAATTCGCAAAGTTTCTAGCTTACAAGGGAGTTCAAGTTATAGTGGAGTCTAGGAAAGGTGTTAAAATAGAACCGAATAGTAAACCACATACTTCGGATTCCGATTGGTTTAATCTACAAATACCGGATTCACCGGAAGTCAATCAAGCTACCAAAAATGCTTTACCCTCAGACAGAATATTAGAGACTATAAGATGTCAATTGCACGTAGAAATTTCGGTACAAACAGAAGATGGGGATGAAATGGTTCTTGAACTATGGACCCTAAAATTGGATGACGCTCAGTTTGATACGTCTCTAAAGGCAATGAACACGGTATACTTCAGAATGGGAATTCTACTGAAGTCTCTCATAACAATCACGAGAATAACACCAGCATATCACCTATCAAGGAAACAAAGAACTGAATCTTTCACTATATTCTACAGAGTATACAATGGTGAACCAAAATTGAAGACTTTAGGAGATTCTGTGAAGAATATACAGGCTGGTATATTAAAAACTCCTTTGGGAGGTTTATGTTTCACTGTATCATACCGAACAAACTTTTCCATATCACCAAATCAGTCTAAAACAGATAAAACACTGTTGCTCAAAAGCGATCATTTCGAACTAAGCCCAAAACACGTTATATTCGAATCAAAGAAGAAGAAGGAAAAAGAACCAAGATCATCTTCACCAATAGATCTGAATAAACCATTACGACAAGCAGCTTTTGTTGATGAAGTCGCGATTAGTAAGGTCATAAAGGAATTCTTAGAGAAATTACCTCTACCAGCATGCAGAATGGCCCAAAGTAAAGCACCAGAAGAAAAAACTAACGATAGCAAAAGCACACAAAATCTAGACATAGTTTCAGAAAGTCCCATATCAGTTGAGATGCCGCCAAAGAAATTTTCAGGATTCCGCAACGAGAACGAACCTCCGCTAAAACTATTACACTTCCCATTCGCTGATGATCATCCAATACGCGAATTGGCTGAATTCTACAAGGATTTCTTCAACGCACCGCATTTAAAGCTATCCGATGAACATAAAACGTGCAATGAGAACAAGGAACTCGAAATGAGCACTGATGATTTGTCCAAAGATCTATTATTACATGAAAATTCTGTTCGAGAATTCGATGAATTACTAGCAGATATGTGTCGCTCCGCCGAATGGAACAATAATTAAGGGTTATGGGTGTAAACGGTTATGGAAGACTGAAATGATAGATTCTTTAATAAATATATAATAAAGAATTTTTCATTTATTTATATAATCTTTATACCAATTTAAGTTCATTTTTGATATTACCAACAATGAAATCTTTGAAATCAATTTGAATTGCATATATCTCGATTGCATAACTTGAATATATTAATCGAATATTAAGATTATAAGAGAATAATCGATGTATCGATTATGATATCAAGTTTCTATTGAATGTTTCAGAATATTGCGTTTTTATTGTATATAAATTTTAGATTACCTATGTGTATAATTAGTTCCTACATTATTTTGCCATCGTTTTAATAATTGTCATGTGTAATGTAATTTTTCCTTGATTTGTCTCAAGGGGAAATGTGTATTAAGGTGGCACTTCTATTGGCATTTATTTGTTGTGTTCGGCCAAATAGACCATGTGTGGAGGATTTATTCGTCTTCATTTGTCATATTTGCACAAATAAGACGCATACACAAATGAGCGAAAACGCGTAAAGACGTGTTGTGGCATAGCAAGTGTGGATGTCGTGTTTGTGCTATTTGGACTACGTACAAATATTTGGACAAATTCGGCGAATACGCAAGGCCAAGTGAGGTGCCACTTTTAAACAATAAAAATAATTACTTTCATTCCATGTGCTCTCATTTGAGCTCTCATAATTGGATTATGTGATATATTATTTTTTACATTGGTTTCATAAAGACAAATGTTAAGTTGAAATTGTAATCATAATTTGATAATTATGTCTTATATTGTTCTTAGATAAAAATCATAAAACTGATTGAAAGTGTTTCATTTATAACCTTTGGAGTTTTGATTTACAATAAAAATAAGAAAGAAAATTTAGGTTTCGTGTAAAAGATAATAATTAAAAACCTTACTTTATTGAAGATAGTACTTATAATCTAAAAATTAGGACTTTATTTCATCCATTACGGCCCAGAATATTAAAATGACATAACAGGGTATGTTTTTCAAGTGTATTTAGTAAATCTTCTAAATTTATGGGTATATAAAAATATAATCATCATCAATTAATTATATTATCAATGTTATTTATTTTCGTTGTGTATTTCTCATACAGTAACAAACAAACCTTACATATAAAAGACAACCATACTTTCTCTATACGAGCTACAAAATAATATCAGTAAATACACAAAATTTTACTTTATTATCTACCCCAAAATCAGGACCTTTTTAATATTCCCATTTAAAGACCTAAACTCAAAAGAAAAAAAATGGGACTTGCTCAAAGAACCGAATTAAGGGCAGCAAAAACTTTTAAAATAAAGTTTTGTTTGAAAAGTGAATACTAAAACAATAAACGTCTATGTTCGTTATTCATATAACATGAGATACTAAAATATTTCATTCCAGACAATATAAGATATACCTAGGTATTAAAAGAATTTTTCCGCAGAGGGCCTCACTATGATCCGCAGATTTTTATCTATTTTTTGTCATAAAAAGCAGACAATTGTAAACAGAACAATTGTAAATCTAAAATAAAATTGAAAACCATAACCCCCAGTTAAATTTCCTCGTTGCAGGAGATTTTACTTCAGATAGGGCACATCCTCAGTTATTCCTTTCAACTATGTAAAATAATACAATCATTGATGATGAGTTAGTTTTTCTTTTCTTAAGTAGTTTTGGAAGCGGTAAAATCTTGTAGATTATTTAAAACAGATTTTTCATACATGTATGCTACTGGTCAAAACATGGTTGGTTGTTAAATATGGCCTTCATCCGTGCAAACGTGAATTGTATATTCTGCCAGAGTCGTGTAGAATGGAGGAGAAATCAAAACCTTTAAGTATGATAATACAAAATCACAAATAAACAATCTGCCACAGCACGCAAATCTGGATTCCGAAACAAAGAAAAAAGAGATATTTTTTAATCAAGTTTAAGTTGATAGTCAAGGTTAATAAACCCTTCTTATACACATAATATGAATATGCGGAATGATATTATGTAGTGATCAAATATGCATACAACAAGTCTCAATTAAAAGAAAAACGACACAACCTTTTTTTTGTAAAATGGTTTTTAGAATCGAAGTTTATGTTTTGTAGATGATAAAATCGATTCTTTTTGATTACTGTGTAACTGATGCTTTAAAAGTTCTTGACATATCTGTCAAACTCACAAAACAAAAAAGTAGGTAAAGCTTGACGCTTGACAGTTATATGTTTTCGTTTTCATTTTAATATTGGCGTTGAAATCTAAGTTCTAATAGTTTTAAGTTAATATCAAATTTAACTAAAGAACATACTTATAATAATCAAGAAAAATGAGCCAATAGAAGATGTAAAGCACAGATACTTATAAAGGAAACAAAAGCAAAACAAACTTCGTAGTTTCAAAACATCTAACGTGGAAAACAAGCAAAAATGTTTTCTATTTGTCGTCAAACTCACCCCGCTACGGGTATTGAGCACGCTATTAGCTGCTGTTTCTTTAATAATGATGAAGTATGCCTGATCACTGCAGGAGCTAATATAATAAAGGTTTTCAGGCTTTTGCCTGAGGGCCACGCAAAAGAGGTTAATGCCGGTACGTAGAATCATGTTTACTAAATTTGTATACTAAGATACAGTAAGAAAAATTAATAAAATATACCATTACCCATACAAGATAATGTTTTTTTTCATTGTTATGAATGACACTTATTAAATCTATTAACAATTATTTTATGAATAAAATTTTCAGCCGGTCAACCAATTCCACCTAAAATGAAACTAGAATGCCTAGCTTCATACACTCTCTGGGGCAATGTGATGTCAATAGCATCAGTGAAATGTCCGAGCGCTGGTCGTGATTTACTGCTTGTATCATTCAAGGAGGCAAAGTTATCTGTAGTACAATATGATCCACAAGTTAATAATCTCATTACACTTAGTATGCATTACTTTGAAGAAGATGACATGAAGGTAATTAATTTGATGTAATAATAATTAATTATTCTCAATGCTTATTTATTTAGTCAGTTTATTATATAATAAAGTCATAAAAATAAAAATTATTATACTTCTTCAACACTTCAAAGCTATAAATTCATTTATGTTAATCTTAAAATTGTTTTAAGAGAACTTAAAAGCTATACATATAACTTTTATGACACATTTTAGAACTACATATACTTTTTTTTATAAATGATCTATATGTTACTCTCATCTCTTAGCTGTATCATATGAGCGTTTCATCAAAATTAAGTTCAGTATATTTTATATTAACTTACATACATGTATATTATCACAAACATTAGCATTAATAATATTACTAGTTTTTACCTGCATCTTTGTCCATGCTAATTTCAGAATTAGTAATATATGTATAGCTAATCGGGCTAACCCTATTCTGTCCTGGTGGTCATAAATAACCAGATATTGGAATTAACTATTTTTATTCAGTTTCAATTGAACAGAATTAAATAACCTATGTCCATCTCTTGATACTAAGCTCTCTCTACCATTTTTCAACCATATATATAACCCTACAGCTGTTCTTGAGTTATAAATAGTGTAACTAACACAACTTTCTTTTAATTTACATAGATTTATGCATACTTATCATTATTTCTTTCCAGGGAGGATGGACAACTCATCCTCATATACCTTGGATAAGAGTGGACCCAGAATTTAGATGTGCAGTCATGTTATTGTATGGAAGGAAATTAGCAGTGTTGCCGTTCAGGAAAGATATTACCTCGGAAGAAGGCGACCCTTTGGAGGCTAAGCCATTAGATTGTAAGAAAAATGTAAGCATATTTATAATATTTTATAATGATATATAAGACTTTCGTGAGTATTCATCTAAATAAAACAGATAATTTCGGATGTACTATTGCGTTTTTTAATAGTTTAGTTGAGACAGAACGAAAATCTTTTATTTTGTCTGCCCATGATCATGGCTGCTACAAAGTAACCAAAATATTGGGAGTATCAAGTTTGAAAACGCGATAGTAGATGTGAAAATATTAGTTTTATGTGTAATAAATAATCTTGATACAAAGAAGAAAGAAGAAATTATCTTTATACATAAAAAAGTCTCAGCCAGAGTTAAATCCTAGATTTTTTTTTAATTCAATGCAGGGAACTAAATGAAATTTCAGGATAAATTATGGCTTCTAATGTTTAAGCCACATAACTGTAAAATTTTATCAAAATCCGTTTAGTACTTTATCAATGAACATACAAACTTCACATTTTTAATATTAAAAGCATATTACATAGCAAAATATACACTACTAGCTTTCCGCCCGCAGCTTCGTCCGCGTGGAGTTTCGTTATATCGCGTTTCCAAGAGAACCTTTCAAAAGTGTGGGATAAAAACTATCCTATGTTCTTTTTCAAGGTCAACTCTATCTCCGTACCAAATTTCATTAAAATCAGTTCAGTGGTTTAGGCGTGAAAGCGTAACAGACAGACAGATAGAGTTACTTTCGAATTTATAATATTAGTAGGATGTATCTAAGTTTTTCAGACATGGTTGCTGTAGAGGAACCAATAGGTCAGAGTTATGTAGTTATAAAATAATAAAAAACATGTAAAAGACACACTTGTTCATATATTTATTATACATTTATATAAATACTTTTATTCATACATCATTATTCAGTTATCTATGTTTGTTGTTTGAAGCCATCTTATTCATTATTAAATAATTTATGATTTCACAACTTCACTAAGAAATTTATTTTATAGACACTGAAAACCTGTTATCAATCAAATGCATAATTTTTTTAGAAATAGCTCTATATTTTGTTATCAAGTCTCATTACTATGACTTAATATATGAATATATTTTTTAAGTAAAAATTTACTAACTCTGTACATGTATGTATTAATGACACAAGATATGATCTGAACTTTTTTATATTTACTGTAACATTTTGTATATAGCTACATATATTATTATTTTGATTAATTTCCTATAATAATAATTATTTCAGCAACCAATACAAACCATGTCTCGAGCTCCGACACTAGCTTCTTATGTGATAATATTGAAAGAACTCGATGAAAAAATAGACAATATATTGGACATACAGTTTCTGTATGGTTACTATGAACCTACTTTGTTGTTATTATACGAACCAGTCAGAACATTTGCTGGGTAAGTGATAATTTTATCCATAATTAAAAATAATATTAAATGAATTATTTCAAGATGATATGTTAAAGTAATGTTCCATAAATTTCACATTTAGCGTACAAACAGAACAGATTAAAAATATTTATATACATATTAATGTCTCTTGTTAACATGTACATAATTTGTTCAAACAATCAATAAATCATATATAATTTCATAAAATGTATATTATACTTAAACTGACATTAACATTATGACAACATATTTTCTTTATAATCTGTGATCTATCTATATCAGTTTAAAAATATTAAATATATTTTTTCTAGACGTACAGCGGTTCGTAACGATACTTGCGCTATGGCTGGCGTGAGTCTGAATATGTCAGCGAGAGTACACCCTGTTATATGGTCTATAGGGGGATTGCCGTTTGATTGTATACAGGCTGTTCCGATACAGAAACCTTTAGGTAATTTATAAAACTCATTTATGAACCACCTGTATATCACAAATATATAATTCTATTTCATCCAAATTAATTTACAATTATCAATGTTATGCTATATTTTTTGGTTATCATTCATCTTTCAGTGTTCCTTGTCATGTTGAATAGAGTTTTATCCAAATTGGTTTAATAGATACATAAGATTAAAAAAAATATTTCGATTAATAATTAGTTAGATTACTAAGTCTTCAAAAATACCAATATTTAACAAATTAGATGAAAAAAATTGAATCTTTATAATGCATCACTTCAATCATCAATACTTTTTGTATGTATGTTTGTTTAAAGTAATCTCAGGAACAATCAAGTCGAAAAATATTTTCGTGTTAAAAAATTCATTATACATATATCCTATAGACTTTAATACAAACTGCAAATACCTAGGTTCAAGTGAAGCCGCGGGAATAACTAGTATATAAATATTTTCTTAATATAGTATATATTTTGTTTTTCAGGTGGTTGTTTAATAATGGCTGTGAATTCTTTGATATATTTGAATCAATCCGTGCCGCCCTATGGAGTCTCTCTAAACAGTATTGCCACTCATACAACGAATTTTCCTCTACGTGAGTACATATATATATTAGAAATAAATGCATAATACAATTATTGAAACTTACTTAAAAATTTTGTACGATTATATACATAAATTCAAGTTCAATAGTACCTAAGTTTTTAGTCGTATTATATTTTTTAAATACTTATTTAAATAGTCGGCTTAGACTAAGTTTAAATGGTTTCTTCACTACTAATGCGTAAAAACTACTTATAGTACACATACATATAAATATGTAATTCATACTAGCCGATACACGTTACTTTGTCCGTGTCATCTTAGTAATTAAATATTTAATGATTACAACAACATAAAAAAAAATAACAACATAGGTGAACGCGTAGTTCTTACAAAAATTTTAGTTACATGAAACCTTAATAATATAATACAAAGATGTCGCATTATTTTTGTCATATAAATATATATATATATATATATATATATATATATATATATATATATATATATATACATACTATGATTGCAAAAAAGCTTTAACAGACTGGCTGTTAAAACGTAACTATAAAGAAATAGAATCCCTGTTTGAATACATCACCTAACAAACTGTTGCGAATAAACAAGGCAAACACAAACACACGTATTCATACAGTCCCTTATACATACACAACACACACACACACACCGACAAACACTACTCACAACATGCCTAAGCCAACACACTCACAAAAACACACGCTTAGCCTTACGCCTCAGATACTCTCACATCCTCACATATTAATACTGTTATAATAATACACATTTTAGATAAAATTTGTTTTTGTATTACCGTGATTGTTATTGTTTAAGTTTTAGTATGAGAAAATTTTTATGTAAAGTATAGTATATTTTGTAACTTCTGTCTCGTAGTACTTACCGCTGATTGCATAAGCGAAGAGCGGGGCCTCCTACTACATATACTTAAAAGGGGGTACCCAACGATGTATAAACAAGTGTAATACTTTGAATGAAATAAATTATTTTTATTTTATTTTATTTTATACATATATATTTCCAGGTATTCAAGAAGGCGTCTGTATAACACTAGATGGCGCTAGAGTGGTAGCTTTAGGCGAAACTCGGTTATCGCTCGCGCTGAAAGGTGGTCAGCTATACGTATTAACATTACTGTCAGATTCAGTGAGAAGTGTACGAAGCTTTCATCTTGATAGAGCGGCGGCATCTGTATTGACGTCATGTGTGAGTTTCTTCATACATTAATGAATTTGAATTCATAATAAATAGTTTACAGTTCAGTTGAGCATGATGAAACTGATAAATAGTTTACAATTCAGTTGAAAATGATAAAACTGATAAAAAGCCTACAGTTCAGTTGAGCAAAGTGAATCAAATCAAAATCAGTTTACAGTTTTTTCATTTTTATACCATAGTTGATTTTATAAAAATGAAAAAACTGTATATAAACTATTACGTGTTAAGATTTTAGTTTGAATACAAACTAGCGGTAAGAGTATAATCGCAAGAATAATATGAGAATGTATTGATTATATTGCTGTTTTGTAAAACATTTTTAGCTCTTTTTCTTAAAAGCAACCTTTTTATATGATTTAAGTGTTATTTGTTAATTTTTTTTAAAACATTTTCATTTAAAATATCAAAATGATTTTAATTTTTTTTATAAATTATACAAAACTTACATTTCTACAATTATATTGTATATTATTGTTCCAGATGTGTGTAATTGAAGAAGATTTTCTATTTCTTGGATCAAGACTTGGAAATTCTTTACTATTAAGAGTCACTGAGAGGGAAAATAGAATGTTGTTCTCAGTCGACAAACCTTTAGAAGCTACGGTTGATCTTACACTGTCTGAAACTGGTTTGTATTCATTTATATATTACTAGCTGCGCCCCGCGGTGTTACCCGCGGATATCGGAAATGTAAATTAGCCTATGTGTTATTCCTGGACGTCAGCTTCCTGTATACAAAATTTTATCAAAATCGCTTCAGTAGTTGAGCGTGACGAAGTTACAAACATACACACACACTCACAAACTTTCGCAATATTAGTAGGAGTAATATTAATTTAGTATCAGATATCACATTAATACTTTCTTGGAACCAACTTCGAAGGCAGCCCTAGTAGGTTCTTTTCAAATTTGTTAGAGAGAGGAGCTTGGACAGTGGAGGTGAGCGTTTAACGCGTTATATAGGGACCCTTAAACCTACACCTGGGTCACAAGTCACAGTCACTGTTGAAGCTCCTCTCACTACAACGATGAACCCAACACATTCACGTGAATACATGGAATGATGAAAAGTTTCGTCTCTTATTATTTTAAGAAAGATTAATTAATGCTAGTTGAGTCATTTTTATTACAATTCAAATAGAAAAAATCTTCAAATGACCAGAATATAGCTAATCCCTTTACCAACTAAGCAAATGAGCACTAAATTACTTATCACGAGATCATGAAAGTACACAAACTATCTTTGTAAATGATTCCAAAAATAGTGAGCATTTGATTTTTTTTTACAGATAAAGATAAAGAAAAAGATAAAGAACCATTGCCAAAGGAACCCCAAAAAGAAATATCCGATCCACAGGCGAAGAAACGTCGTTTGGATACTATTAGTGATTGTGTGGCGACTAACGTGGTGGAAATATCTGATAAAGATGAACTTGAAGTATACGGCTCTGACATACGGACATCCACTCAACTTACTAGCTATGTGTTCGAGGTTAGTGTTATATGTATAAGTTATACTAGCTTTCCGCCCGCAGCTTCGCCCGCGTGGAGTTCGGTTATATCGCGTTCCCAAGAGAACCTTTCAAAAGTCTGGGATAAAAACTATCCTATGTTCTTTCTCAAGGTCAACCAGAGAGATAGCTCTCTATCAAATTTCATTAAAACCAGTTCAGTGGTTTAGGCGTGAAAACATAACAGACAGACAGAGTTAGTTTCGAATTTATAATATTAGTATGGATTCTTATTATTAAATTGCTTCCATTTTAGTCATGTTAAGTATATAAGACATTTATGTATGAACATAAAATGCTTTCCAAAATTTAAGTCTTTTCGGTTTAATTTATAGATAAAATTTAAATTAAATCACTGCACTATAATATTTTGTTGTAATATATGGTGCTCTAAGAACATGTTAATAAATAGGACTGCATAAATAATAATAAAAAAAAAATATTATAATAAATTAATGAGATTTAAGACTTTCGCCAGTATTCATTTAAATTAAACTAATATTTTTCGGATGACTACGCGTATTTCGTTATAGTAAAAAACAAAATTCTCCCGAAATTTTACTTTTCAGCAACCGTGATCACGGGCAGATAAAAGCATCAGCTTTGTGAGAATACCATATATATACTCAGTGGCGGCTGGTGGGTTATCGAACTGGTGGTGCACTTTACTAAAATATTAAAATTAGAAAATGCTACAAAACAACAATTGACATAAAATATGTTTATTTATTATACATTAATTAATGCAACGACATTTTTCCGAAGCGAAATGTTCAATTACCTATTTATTAATATCGGGTATTGTTTCTATATATTTTTTTTATTCAATACTAAGCACAGAAAGTGCATTTAGCAACTGCAAGGTATTTCGGAGAAAAGTTTTGATTCTTTTCAATTCCAATTCGTCATACATCGGGTGCTCTCGGTAATCTTCGGCCGCTCGTGCGGCGCTCGAGAACCGACTCATTACTCGGTACATTTCGATGAATTATCTTTTGACTCACGCGTCAGGCGTATTATTTCGTATCTCATACAAAATGTATTAGCAGTCCTCGTGCACTCGCTGAGGCGCACGAGATATTAGTTTAGTAAAGCGCTCAAACTTTTTGACTATAATTAGAAATTTAATTTTTTATACGTTATTGTATGTTTAGAAAATAAATATTAAAATGTTAATTTAAAAATAAAGATGAAGTAATATTTCGTAATTTTTAAATCTTTTGAATTGGTGGTTCAGCGCACGAGTGCACTTAAGGTACAGCCGCCACTGTATATACTAATGATATATGTGCCATATATGCGTACGCATGCATGAGATACATCAATTTACATAAATAAGTTTCACAAAGAACAAGTTTATATATATTTTTTCTTAAAATGTACTTTTTATTATTATTATTATAACTCGTCTGCCTGTGATCACAGTTGCTGCAAAGTAACTTAAACTTCGGGAATATATCGTTAAAATAATATCAAAGTCGCAATAAATCCCAAAAATATAATTTTTATTTAAGCCTACGTTTATATTTCAAGGTATGTGATTCCCTGTTGAACATTTGTCCTATCGGCGACGTGTCTATGGGAGAGCTTCAGTTAGTTTCTGAAGAAGGGGCAAGCCGAAGGTCGAGACCGGCCCTTGAACTAGTCGCATGCAGCGGACGAGGCAAAAACGGAGCTCTGGCTGTATTACAACGATCACTTACACCGCAACTACTAACAGCCTTCGATCTACCAGGTAAAACACAGTATTACCAAGTTAAAACACAGTATAACAGTTAAAACACAGTATAACCAGGTTAAAACACAGTATTATCAGGTTAAAACATATGATCAGATATAGTGATATGAACATAGAGATATCGGGGGTTCTCAAACTTATTTTGTCTTGTACTTTGGGAATAAATTATTTTTAACCCAAACCCCCCCCCCCTTTTATTTTTCATGTACTGAAAAACCACTGTAACTTGTACTATCTAATTGAAATTACAGATTACCTCTCAGGCCACTTTAAAACGCCACTTTTTTTGACACATCACTCTTTTATATGATATTGCTTAAAATTATCAGTTTGTCAGATGATAGTTTAATAAGTTAAATTAATCAGTTTTAGACTTATGTGTATGTCTATGTGTGTGTGTGTTTTTCAGGTTGTATCGACATGTGGACTGTAATCGGCGAAGCGACGGAAATCAACAGAGAAGCACACAAAGATATGGAAGGCAGCCACGCTTACTTAATATTAACACAAGAAGATTCTAGTATGGTGAGAGGGATTACATTAGATTTAACTAGATGTCGCTAACATAGACGATGATTAAATGATTATTTAAGAAAGAAAGAAAGAACATTTTTATTTGGGACCGTACAAAAATGATGAAATATCAGTTATTTCAAAAATAAGAAATAAAACAACAGAAAAAACATAATATTTAGAGTTAAATAGGACAAAAAAACATCAAAAGTTCCATTTTTGTAGAATGACCCATATATATTTCGGTTTTCTCAATATTAACTTTGTTATGTTAAATTCCACGTTCATCAGTATGTATAATTATCTTAAAAATTTATTAAAGCTTCATATATTTATATGTAGATATATATTTTTTGTCCACAAAACATTACTTTAAATGCAGTAAATTTTGAATACTTTTGAATATTGAAAACATTTATTCAAGATATACCAATAAGTCTAATAGATTTATATGTAACATATGATAATAAAAAAAATACCCACCAATCCATATAAAAACTATCCTAATGATTTATCAAACACTCAATTAATAATGATTATTTAAATAAAACTAATATTTTTATATTATTACGCGTTTTTTTATTATTTTTAACTACATACTCCCGACGTTTCGATTACTTTCCAGTTATCACGACATGAAAATGTTTTGTAAAACGTATAGTAATCCGGGATATTAGTTTTATTTAAATGAATACTTAAAATCTTATTTATCATTAAATCTCTTATTATTTGTACTAACTGTAATTTGTTAATTATTATACGCAGATTCTTCAAACTGGTCAAGAAATTAATGAAGTGGATAATTCAGGTTTCATGACTACCGCCCCCACTGTGTTCGCGGGGAATTTAGGAAACAATAAGTTCATGGTCCAAGTTACTACTACAGTGATAAGACTTGTGAGAAGTAAGTGTAACTAGTGGCGCCATCTGTATTAATTATAATCCCTACTAATATTATAAATGCGAAAGTAACTCTGTCTGTCTGTCACGCTTTCATGACTAAACCACTGAACTGATTTTAATGAAATTTGGTACAGACATAGAGTTGACCTTGAGAAAGAACATAGGATAGTTTTTATCCCAGACTTTCGAAAGGTTCTCTAGGAAACGCGATATAACCGAACTCCGCGCGGGCGAAGCTGCGGGTGGAAAGCTAGTATACTATAATTCTTATAATTAATTTTCAGACTGATTATAATTATAATACTGAACCATTGTAAATTGTAATTTTGTAATGGCATCATTTAAGTATCAATACATATTCGAAAACTATAAATACTGGTTTCTTCAGACATTGGAACAATATTGTAAGTAACGCTAAACATAAAAAATTTAATCTGAAACTGTATCTTGAATTTGTGAATTTTTTATATTATTATAATTAAAATAATTTTCCTATACAATACAATCGCGTATAACATTCATATCAATATTATTTCACCAGTCATTCTTTTCCCAAAAGAGGGTTGATGTCATTCAGGCGGTGTCGTAAAAACAATTAGCCAAAACTATTCACAACATGTAAGGAAGACCCTGGCTAAAAGTGCAAACCCTGGCTAAAATTGCCAGGTAGAAGATTCATAACACTAACTTTGTTTCCCGTCTTCGTTCACCAGATGGCGTATTGGTTCAATCTATCACGTTAGAGTGGACTGCTCGCAGCGCGTGTACGGCCGATCCCTACTTGTGCGTGGTGTCAACTTGCGGGAGGGCGTTAGTACTCGCGTTGAGAGAACTAAGAGCTAAGGACGCTACGGTATGATACACGGGATATATGTATGAATGTATGAAGGTATGAATGGTTGAATGTAGGATTGTATGAATGTATGAATATAGGAAGGTATGATTGGTTGCATGTATGATTGTATGAATATTTGAGAATGTCATTTGTATAGTGTTGTATATTGTTATATATTGTTTTATATGTAATGTTTTATTAATTTATTATTATTGTTTTTTAATTTAAATTTTGATTTACTATAATTATTATATTTTGCATGATGTGATAGCCTATAATTAAAAGGACATTTAAGTTATTATTGATAGTTTGATAATGTAATGAATGGTATAATGTTTTCTTTTGTTGGCTATCCAAATAAAATGTACATTGTTACGTATACGCTACATATGAAGGAATGAAAGCCGGGGAGACATCTTTGTATGGGTAAAATATCATATATCGAGTGACGCCGCTGACTCCGCGGAACGAACACCAAGCCATGTGAACAAGAAGATTCCTCATACCACACAAGCAATGCTATCCAAACATAGGGACAATCATGTAGTCTTAGGTGTAGCTTATAAGTTTTAATATGTAGTTCTTATAATATACATGTAAGTAAGTTTAGTAGTTTTCCTGGAAAACCTGGTTGTCACCTTTTATGGAATTACTTGGTCGGTGTTGTTAAATAATATACTATCAAGTATATTGTAGGTAGATCATTTTATTATATTACGTTCTCTCATCGAGTCTTGTTACTTAGAACAATACATATTACGAAATTAATATTGTTTTATGGAACTATATATAGGGATCTAATTTATTGTCATGTTTATACCATGGGTTTGTGTGTGATATTATTAATGTAAGAAAACTCTATTGAGTGATATATCAATTGATGTATGCAAGTAATTCTTTCATGTGTATGTGTTGCAGTGATCATTATAACGTATTGAGAGCAATTTCTTAATGTCTGTTTTACAAGTACATACTAGCGTTGGGTACATCGAGTTTCTTAGTAGGGGTGCAGATGTGTATGTGCGTGTTAGATGACTGTATGTATATGCATGTATTAGGATATATGTTCTATAATTATACAATGTTTATTAAATATATTATTTGTATTTAAATATATATCTTGTGATTTACAGTTTAAATAATCGAATAGTTAGGATTTGACTTACAAAAGTGTTGTGTCGTCAATTATTTGTCAAACGAATGTCTAATATACAATTATTATATAATTATATTGGAGTCAGCTTTGTTTAAAAACTGTTAAATCTTTAAAATTAAATTTTAAAGGTTTGACAAATAATTGACGACACAACACTTTTGTAAGTCAAATCCTAACTATTCGATTATTTAAACTGTAAATAACAAGATATATATTTAAATACAAATAATATATTTAATAAACATTGTATAATTATAGAACATATATCCTAATACATGCTTGTGTGTGTGGTTTATAAAGAACTTCAGTTTGGTGGTGATATCTATGACTTGAATATTTATTGAACTGAAACTTATTATGCGACTACCAATAAGTTGCGTTAATTATAAGCAATGTTTATAAAGTCTGTCTTTAAGATACAATGAGTTCACTAAAAATTTATTTCTATAACTTCCTATCATCATTTCCATATTACGAAGTGTCACTTATAATATAACCTTCCGCTTTGATATTTTTTTTTATTTATTACAGTCAGCTCGACTCGCGCCAACAAGACAGGCCGTGCCTCATAGACCGGCGTTATTAAAAGCTGTTCCTTATAGAGATTTAAGTGGGTTATTCACTAGCACAGACGACAATATACAGGTAAAAAAATATATTATGTATATTATATCACTAATTAATGTGTAATAATAGTACATATGTTGAAAATTTTATTTGAGTAAATGTATATTTTTATCTATCTATATACACTTTAGACCAGGGTTTCTTAAACTTTATGCAGTCACGGACCATTAACTGAATTCAAAAACCTCTATGGACCCCTGTCAAAGAATATGTTAGGATAAAAACCTCTTATATAGTTATCAGTTTTATTTCACAAAAATCTTTTATTGGTAGTTTACTTACACTTAGGCACTAATACTTAATTAGGTAAAACATAACTAAATTAGTGAAAAGGAAGGCCCTTGTTTGGCTTCAATGAGTACGTTAAATTGTGGACTTCTAAAGTTTAGACTATATTACAAAACATTTTTTGTATTATCTGTCATAAAAACATTGCTAACCAATTAAGCTTTTACTGATTATTATGGATTTTTTCAGGTTAAAGGTGAATTCACAGGTAAAATAAAAGAGAAAAATATTAAAGCTGAAGGTTTCAAAGCTGATACAGTGTATGAATTGAATGATGAAGATGAACTATTGTATGGAGGAGATCAAACACCGGCTTCTATGGCTAGTGTAAGTGTACTATATATATATATATGTAACATATATATTAGTTTCTGAGTATAATTTATTAAGATACTAGTAAACCCGGCGAACTCCGTTTCGCCACCAGAAGGCTTTTATATAACATTTTGTTTGGTGATTAAAAGATAAAGATTTTTTTGTTTTATATTTGAAAAGGAAAATTTTTATTTCATTTCACAACAGTAATGAATTCATTTCGATTACAAAAATGAAGTGTTATTTAGTTGAACTTCTCTAAGTAAGTGAGAGTGAATCCAAAGTAGATACCGAATCGAAGCGTTATATGTACGTGTCCGTAAATTATCCGTTTCATTGAAGTGGTCCTTTGTAAACCACATTTTTTGTTTTTTGGTCTAACTTTAACACAAATAAAGCGTATGGTTTCCAAACTCGTGAACAAGCAAAAAATATAACTGCCCATGTGAAAAACAATGATTTTCTAAATTTATCCCCCAAATACTAAATGGTTTTAAGAAATCAAACTACAAACACAATACCGGTTTATCACATGAAATTAACTGAGCAGAGAACAATGAGTAGCTGTCAAACAATGTATCATGCGATGGCACCATCTACTTAAAATATTGATTTGTAGTACTTGTTATGTATGATGGCGCTGTATGTGACAAAAGATTTTCCCCCTTTTCTTGGTTCTTTCGTTCTGAAGTTATAGCGTCAGGATGGAAAACCGGACTTATTTTTATATAGTAGATTTCTTACAAATATCAAATTGTCGTCCATACGTCATTACATATCTGTCATTATACGTTAATTGCATAGCTGTCAATTGTGTTTCGTTATTCCACGTTTTATAGTGACTGACGTTTCATGTCAAGTCCCACGGGAATGCTGACGAACGGGATTAAAAGAATCCTATTGCAATTTCCTGGTTTTAAACTACCTCCCTGCCAATTTTCAGCTAAATCGGTTCAGCCGTTCTTGGGTTATAAGTGGAGTAATTAACACGACTTTCTTTTATATATATATAGATATAATTTGGAATGGGTATAATATTTAATAATTTTTTAAATTTACATTTTTTAAGGTGAAATTAATTATAGAATCTAGAATATATTATATATTGTCCAAAATCTAATATCTAAACTAAAGCAACATATAATATATGAGATAGTTTCTCAATTGAAGTGATATTTGTCATTTAATTAAATAAAAATGTGTTTCATTTCTTAATGAAATAGTATTTATAAAAGAACTTAATTTTTTTATATAATTTACCCAGTCTATTTCCTAGACGGTTGAACCGATATCAATACAACTTTCAATGGCTGGCATTTATTTAAAAAAAATACTATAATGAATTATAAAATAAAATTACTTATCACTAGTAATTGAGGTCTTAAGAGCTTATACATGTTTGTATATGAAATTTAATCTAATATATTATGTATAATTTCCCACAGATAATGTTAGCTGAACAATCCCACACTATGGGGGTTCCCCGGCGCGTGAGTCGCTGGTGGCGCCGCCTGTTGGCGGATGTTAGAGTCACGTACTGGTTGTTCGTTGTGAGAGACAACGGCAACCTAGAAATATATTCGCTACCAGAGATGAAACTAAGCTTCTTAGTTAGGGATGTGTGTGCAGGTGAAAGGGTAGGTGGCAATCACATATATGAACCTTTTCATGTTATACATACTTTGATTGTTATAAAAAAAAATATTACCCCATATAGCAAACAAATTTTATATATTTAGTTTTGTAAACAATTATTACTTTATTATTATTTTAGTTTGATGTTATCAGTAATGTTTCTCAAGGCTGTAATAACGTATGTAGCAGATTTGACCATTTTTTAATTATAGTAATATGTGACATAATTATTATGGAATTTTATTATTAGTTGTTGACATTGATTTTTAAATATTGTTTTTGTCTCTGTGTGTTTCTGAACTATATTATATTAAATTATACTCACATAAAAAAGTAATATTATAAACAGATCATAGACCAAAACTAAAAGCAATAAAAAATTTGAAATATGTACGGTTATAAATCTTAAATCCCACTTTAATTCCCTTCTAAAACGAACCTACGACTTTATTATCATTGCATTTCAGCCGCTATGCTAACAAAACTATCGTGTCCATTGTATAAGAGCTATTTGCTCCTATTTTTGTTTCCCATCAAGTTAGATTATATTTTCATCCTATACACCTTATTTAATAAAGTTTATTATACATAGTTAGTTACATTTTATTTATTTAACAGATTTTAGCTGATAGCTTAGAATCCGTTCCTCTACCGAATCAAACAGAGGAAGATGAATTCAACACAGGGCATAGTAGTAACGCGGAGAGACTTCAAGAAATCCTAGTTGTTGGTTTGGGACATAAAGGGTCGAGGGTGCTCATGTTGTTGAGGTGTGATGACGATCAGCTCATGATATATCAGGTTAGTAGAATAGAAGTAGTATAGAAGTAGAACAAGTAGTATAGTAGAAGATTTATCGATAATATATTCTATTCGCATAAGTTTCAAGACATGTTTGAGCTTATATATTAAATTAATCCAGTATATATACAGTATTAAAATGTACAGTACATGTGTATTGGAAAATAAATACGTAATAGTGGTTATAAGTAGTAGGAGTAATATAGTAAAAAAATGTATTGATAATATTTTTTAATTGTATAAGTCCCAAAAAAGACTAATATAAAACAATTAAATCTTGTTTAAATTCCATTTTATTTGAAAATGAATAATAGTAGTTATGGCATATCGTGCAATAGAATTGATAGTTATTTTAATCAATAATTTGTCTCATATGAAGATTAAATTTAAATTACTTTGTAGTTAAAAATGAATTGATAAATTACAAATTGAATATATTTTTACTATGAAAACTATAAAAGTAGTATAAATTAATTGCTCCATATATATATATATATATATATATATATATATATATATATATATATATATATGGAGCGTTCCAAGTGTTCCAAGTGTGGACGCGTGCGGCGGCGTGCTGATACAACACCACGCCGCCGCACGCGTGTGTGTGTGTGTGTACCTAATCTGTAGGGTGTTCACACGATGAGTAATTAATTACATAACTTTTGGTTAACTTTACTTAGAAGTTTATTAATATTTATGTTATATTAATTTTTATTTTGTCATATATGATCGTCAAATATCACGTCCTCAAGTATCGAAAGTAATTCACCAGTCACCCTGTATATATTCTAAGTTACCTGCAATGTATATAATATATATTTCCCAGGCCTACAAGTATCCCAGGGGTAATCTCCGCATGCGTTTCTCTCGTATGTCGTTGTCGTTCCCGTTCGGTTATCGTAGCGGTGTCGTGTCGTGTCCGGAAGACAGTTATGAGGCGTCAACCTTACGTGAAGGAGTGAGACAGTTGAGGTATTTTGGTAAGTATCTATTATATATAGTCGGGGATAATGCAAATCCACGTAACTAGCATTGGATAATTCCGTATATCTACATTGGAAGTAAATTATAAGAAGGAAGTTTAAGCTGTAATATTTTCTATATTAACGACTTTTAAGACAATATATCCACAATTAGTAATAAATTAAACACTAAATAATTACTTGTGAAAAAAATTACCTTCAAAGTCGTTACTTTCAAAAATTTTTTAGCTTCAACTCTCTTCTGGTAATCTGCTTCCTTTGCAGATACGCGGAATTATCCAATGGTAGTTACGCGGATTTGCACTATTCCCGACGAAATGGTGATATATAGCTCAAATATTAGTATACATACAGTGTTTAATTTTTATATCACAGGTTCGAAACCTGATATTAAATTAATGTTTATTTATTGAAGTAGTTAAATAAGTAATGATCTCTGAATATTCGTAAGTTTCTGATTAATTCTGTATTACTCATTTTTTAAAATTATGAATACATTCTATAGTCCGCTAGACTTAAGCTGAGTCTTGAATTTGTGTGTGTGAAAGTAAAAGTAGAATTAGACAAAAAACTTAGATATTTATTTTATTTATTTATTTTGAGGACCACTAGCAGCTACTACATGTTTAAATGTCGAATATAACACAATTAAATGGAAATAGGTTACATTTGTAGCTTTTTAAAGTGGCCAAAACTATCACATTGTTTAAAAAATATATTAATATATAATTATATCGAGAAGATCTAAATAATAATAATAATAACAACAATAATAATAATAAGTAAATTCATTCATAAAAATTACTAAAAATATTCAAAACAATACAAACTTAAATTAATACAAATAACAATTAAACATTTATAATTTATTTATTTATTTATTTATTTATTTATTTGCATAGATATGTTTATAAGAATTAGATTTAAATATATTTGAAATAGATACATAACTGCGGGAGCTATTGTAGATTAAAAATAAAATAAGCATAACTTGTAACAAGCCAGATGGAAATATTAATAATATTATGGAAGAGAATTAAAAAAAAATTAAAAACTATACAAATTCTTCTTTATTTGATTTTGCGTTTTCAACATTTGACGTGGCTACGGGGCGGAGTAAAAGCAGTACAAACCGGTTCAAAACTAGAAAAAAACGCGGCATTCAAAAATTTCACATCTCACCTACACTATCCGTGTACACTCACACAAATGCAACACTATAATATTGGTAATATGTATGTTATGATATTAATATTATAATTTATTTCCAGGTAATGTCGGTGGATACAGCGGTGTGTTTGTATGCGGTCGGACCCCTTATATGTTAGTGTTGGGTTCTCGAGGTGAACTCCGCATACATCCTTTATCGGACCACGCAGCAACCTTCGCGTCATTCAACAACACCAACTGCCCTCAAGGCTTCATGTATTTCAACGACAAGGTTATTGACCCCTTATAATTAAAAATTAATACACACGAACAAGAATCGAATAACATCTGGTATATGTATCCTACTTAATATTATAATTGCGAAAGTTTGTGAGTGTGTGTGTATGTTTGTTACTTCTTCACGCTCAAACGGCTAAACCGATTTTGATAGAATTTTGTTTACAGGAAGCTGAGGTCCAGGAATAACATATAGGCTACTTTACATCCCGGAAATCCCGAAAATCCCGGAAATCCGTGGGTAACACCGCGGGGCAGAGCTAGTACTAAATAAACCATATACCTATCTACATATACCTATTCAAAACTACCCTCATATGTATTCATGAACATGTTATAAGTGAATAACCCGCCATTCCATTTCAGGGTTCGTTGCGTATCTGTGCGTTACCCACTCATCTATCTTTCGAGGCGTCGTGGGCTGTGAGGAAGGTGCCATTACGTGAGACTCCTCACGCTGTGACATTCCATTTGGAGTCGAGGACATATTGTCTAGTTTCATCTGTGTCTCAATCAACACACTCATATTATAAATTCAATGGAGAGGATAAAGAAAAATCTAATGAAAATAAAGGCGATAGGTAATAATACAACATAGTTCAGTTACAAATATTTGTTTAAATTAATAAAATAAAATAATAATTATTGCATAAATAAAGGATTTAAAATAGTAGCTAGTTATAGTTTGAAACTGGTTGTAAATTAAAATCCTACATGAATTTTCACCGCTCATAAACTTTATTAGAGATTTGATAAATTATTTAAAATGTACACTACACACACTGTTATGAATTTGACACACACACATATGAGAATAATCGAACACACACATACAATAATAACATAACAACTATTAAAAATCGATCACACAAACACAATAATTGGTAACATATCATACAAAAAATATGTTCAGATGATAAACAATACTTTTCTTTCATAAAGAAATAAATGTTCATGAAGCTATTTGTATATAAAGTCTACTAAATTAATTAAAATATACATCACACACCCTACTATAACTTACACACACATGTAATATTCTTCAATCTGTATTATTATTAATATCAAACATATTTTTATTGCTTTTTAAATAATAACATTTTTAATATTACAGGTTTCCCTATCCTATGATGGAGCGTTTCTCTATAATGTTGTTTTCGCCTGTATCATGGGAAGTTATACCCAACACACGGATAGAATTGGATGAATGGGAACATGTTACGTGTTTGAAGAACGTGTCACTTTCATATGAAGGCACCAGGTACGGCATCTATACGTATAAGGAAAATTGGTATATAAGGGAAATTGGTCTATAGGGAAAATTGGTAATTAGGAAAAGTTGATATATAACGAAATTGGTATTTAAGTCGACAGAAATCTTTTAAGAGGGGATAGAATCTATTATTCCTAAACGATTTGACTATGGAACCCCAAATCCTAAACCTAATCCTTCTCAAGTTATTGGCATTTGAATTTATTTTACAAAAATTACAGATTGATATTTGATATATATATATGTATATATATCTATTTGTCTCATATATTATATACACAATTTAATATGAGATCAAATAGCCAGGAGGCGATCGTTTCATTCCCAAGGTGTGCTATCGATCATAAACTCATTAATTGTATAGTAACCTTTTGCACAAAAGCGTTCCTTAATATTTTTTAAATTTAGCAACAGAGTCATTTTGAATGCTTTCTGGGATCCTGTTGTAAAACCGTATACATTGCCCCACAAAGGAGTTACTAACTCTATGTAGTCGAGTAACAGGAGTAACAAGTTTATGTTTGTTCCTTGTACCAATGCTATGAGTATCACATTTTCTCATGAAATTATCAATATTTTTTCGTACATACATAACATTGCAGAATATATATTGAGAAGCAACAGTCAATATCTTGATTTCTTTAAATTTATTCCTTAACGATTCTTTAGCTCCTAGGTTATATTGCGCGAATAGCCCTCTTCTGTAGCACAAATATAGTATGCTTTTATCATAAAATTATTTTCGCTTGAATTTAATAGTAATTATAATTCTTTATCGAAGCGTTTACTTAATTTTATCTTGAATTAGAAAAAAGTAAGTTACTTGATAATTTTTTACTTTATTATTTTTTCAGGTCCGGTCTCCGTGGGTACATTGCTATCGGAACAAATTATAATTACGGAGAGGATATTACTTCTAGAGGAAGGGTAATGAAGATTTATCTTAGTTTATCTTTATCTTTCTTTATCTTAAATATCTTTTAAAATACGTATTTTACCTTGAATGATATTTGTTATAACCTTAATGTGTTATATCGTATGTCTTTTCCAGATTTTAATCTACGATATAATAGATGTTGTACCAGAGCCGGGCCAGCCGTTGACCAAGAATAGGTTTAAGGAAATATACGCGAAAGAACAGAAGGGTCCCGTGACAGCTCTCACACAAGTTTTAGGGTTCCTTATATCGGCTGTGGGTCAAAAGGTATATTTATACAGTTATTAATAGTATTAGGATGGATTGTAGCTGTCATATTTATACATATATATACTAGAAGACCCGGCGAACTTCGTATCGCCCTATAATCAAGATATATCTGTTACTTTTTTTATTTATATTTTTGGAGTTTACCTATTAAAGCCATAAATCTCCGTGTTTTGAAGTGCGACAGAATGATTGACATATTAGTTAGTTGTCAAATCTAATGTCAAAAAAAAAACGTTTGTATCAAAAACTACTAATAAATAAAAAAATCATTAAAAAAACATTGTCCAGCAAACAAAATTGTGAATCTAAACCATTCCCAGATCCCCTTGAACACACACAAAAAAATTCATCAAAATCGGTCCAGTCGTTTGAGAGAAGTTCAGTGACATACACACTCACAGAAGAATTATATATACATATTTTCTCTTATATATAAGATTTTCTCATACATTTTCTACATACAGACAGTGATTATTATTATTACTAATATTTATTATATATATAGATTTTCGAACACCATCTTACTTAAAACATTCTATTATAGACTTCTAACAAAAATCAAATACTAATAAAATATTTTTTATCCCTACAGATATATCTCTGGCAATTAAAGGACAATGACCTCGTCGGCGTAGCGTTCATTGACACCCAAATTTACGTACACAGAATGTTGGCTGTTAAAAATTTGATATTAGTAGCTGATGTTTACAAATCAATATCGCTATTAAGATACCAACATCAACATAGGACATTGTCATTGGTATCGAGAGATCTTAGAACGGCTCAGGTAATAAAAAATATTGAAATTCTATTCAAATTTACCTTGACACGATAGCTTAGATAGTAAAGTAAATGAAAATGTATATTTCGAAGGTCGCAAGTTCGAATCTTGCTTATAGATGAAGTTTTAATTCCATATGTTCTATATGAGTTTTTATTCAAGTTTATAATAGTAATGTTAAAAATATAATTATGTATACAAAATGTTTTATTCATCCAATATGGATACAATATGACAAATTTTCTTGTAGTATGTATTTCATTACACATATACATATGTAAAAAATTCTTAAACAATGTTCTTTTATACTATTATAAAATTTTCACTTACTATGCACATTTAAAGCTACTTATTCTTATTATATTAGTAAATAATATGAAGAAAATTTGAACTTACATGCGTATTTGCCTTAAATTGCATAATTAAAATTTTAGTCCTGGTTTATAAGTTATTTTTTCAAATAAATAAGTCAGTTTATTCTCAATTAAAAGAATACATTTCTTGTTTGTGATAAATAATTAAACATATTTAATTATATTGGAATAATTTATTTCTCTTACTCATACAAATTGACAAACGCATAGAAAACAGTGGCGCCACGGACAAAAAAAAACTATTTTTATTGCATTCCTATCCCTACTAATATTAGAAATGCGAAAGTAACTCTGTCTGTTACGATTTCACGCCTAAACCACTGAACTGATTTTAATGAAATTTGGTACAGAGATAGAGTTGACCTCGAGAAAGAACATATGATTTTATCCCAGAATTTTGAAAGGTTCTCTTTGAAACGCGATATAACCGAACTCCACGCGTTCGAAGCTGGGGTGGAAAGCTAGTATATACATATATATAATATGTTTCCTATTTTCAGATATATGACATGCAGTTTATGATAGACAACACGAGTCTAGGTTTCTTAGTGAGTGAGTCAGAAGGTAACTTTGCTATGTACATGCATCAACCTCAAGCGAGAGAGAGTTATGGAGGTATGTCATATAAATATGATTTATTTAGTTATTAATTTAGTAAATACGTATATTAATATATAACTTTCTATATATATAAAACATTACAATAACATCTATGTATATAATATATAAATTAATTGAGGTTTTTAATTAAAAAACAGTAAAACTTAAAGTTTTTTGACTAACTCCACTTTTACTGTTACTCACATAAATTCAAAGCTTATTTTAAGCCTGACGCACTATATGAATTTTTTGTTATTTGTTTGTATTATTTAGTGGATATAAATCCTATAAAAGAATACAATTGTTTTTATTAGACAAAAAATATGTTAAATTATATACAGGGTGACTGGTGATTTACTATCAATATTTAAGGAGCATACTCGGTACATGATTCTCATTCGAATTATGTAAAAAAAATAGGTACTTAATTTTTGACCAAATTTCCGTATAAATAAATGAAGTGTGTACACGTTCCAAGTGTTCCTAGTGTGGACGCGTGCGGCGGCGTGCTGATACAACACTACGCCGCCGCCGCGTCTGTGTGAGTGTGTGTGTATACCTAATCTGTAGGGTGTTCATACGATGCGTAATGAATTACATAACTTTTGGTTAACTTTACTTAGAAGTTTATTAATATTTATGTTATATTAATTTTTATTTTGTCATATTTGATCGTCAAATATCACGTCCTCAAATATCGATAGTAATTCACCAGTCACCCTGTATATGATTCAGTCAGTGGTGGCCTAGTGATTAAATGGCCCGCCTCTCATGCTTGAGGGCGCGGGTTCGATCCTGGCAAGTACCAATGTGATTTTTCTGAGTCATATATACTTTGTAAGAGTATTTAGACATCAGTGATTAGTGCATTCCCAAATAGGGTTGATGTCAGTCAGGCGGCCGGTCGTAAAAACAATTAGCCAAAACTATTCACAACATGTAAGGCAGACCCTGGCTATAGCTGGGAAATTGCCAGGTAGAAGAACATATATATGATGATTCATTATATAATTTTATAATATATTTATTTACAGGTCAACGCCTGATTCGTAAATGTGATTACCACCTTGGACAAAGAGTACACGCAATGTTTCGTTTAGCAGCTAGAGGGGAGAGACAAACACACGTTACTATGTTCAGTTAGTATACTCATATTATTAATGACTGTTGATTCAATCAAAAATACTTAACCGATTTTGATGTAATTATTACTGTTACGTAGCTTAGACGTCAGATAGATATGACGTCATGATATGCGTATTGTTTGTGATAGAGGTTCTCAAACTTTGTTTTATACTGCCAAGTTTGAGAATAATTTGTTTAAAAATCAATACAACTTTAATTTATATATATTATATAATCATTGTGAACAATATTATCCTAAATGCAAGACTCATTATTTTTGGTTCATTTACCGCCCCCTTTAGGCTCGCAGTGTCCACAAAAGTGCGTTAGTGCCCACTTTGGGAAATTCTTGTTTATAAGGTTATTTAACATAGAGTATAGATGTCGCTGATAATGGCTTCACTTAAGTATTTTTTATTATACTTTATACATTTATATGTGAGCTCAATACCTAATTTATGAGAACAAAGGCGCTCTGATAATTACTATAAACATATATATATATTAAAGATTCTTACAAATTCACTAAAACGTAGTTGTCGCATAAAGCCACTACTTTAAAAAATCAAACCTTAATTAGAACAAACTTGACTTAAAGAGTTTTGACTAATTATTATCTTAAGCTAAAACCTTTTAAATAACTTAAATTTAATTTACAAGGACAAATACTTTCCTTCGTAAAAGTGAACCAAACAAACGTCATCGCTTTAACGTCACTTCGGGTGATTTAGGGAATTTTAAAGTTCGGTTAAAATTATATGTTTGTTCCCTATATATATGTTTGTTTTTTTGTCCCAGCAACCCTCGACGGTGGAGTAGGCTACGTGTTGCCTGTCTCGGAGAAGGTGTATCGAAGATTACTGATGTTGCAGAACGTAATAAACAACTACTGCTGCCATCTAGCGGGACTCAATCCTAAAGCTTATAGGTAAAAAAATATAAAACTATCATTGCTCTTCAAGAAATCATATTAAATCCGTATACAATCACTAAAGAAGATGTTTATATATTTAATATATAAAATTTCCATGTCACTCCTTCGAAACGGCTTTACCGAAATATAAAGTTGTATTTATTCTTCTGTTAATATTAAATTCTATATTTATATGCAGTAGCTTTGAGAATCGGCTACTATCTATTCATTCCCTTAAGTGATAAGTTGTTAACCCTTAATTTTTTTAAAGTTTTGGACGAAATTTTTTGAATAATGTGTCCTTATAAATTTATACAACCCTAAATATTTACCTTTTTGTTACCAAACCCTATTTTTATGTGGCAAATCAACGTTTGCCGGATTGGCTAGTATATACTATATATATTTTTGTCATATTATTATTAATTTTGTTTGTAGGACGTACAAGGTGTCTCGTCGCGCTGTATGCGGCGGGGCGGCGCGGGGAGTGTTGGACGGAGATCTAGTGTCATTGTACACGAGCATGCCACGGACGGAACAACAAGATGTATGTATATATAGAATTAATTTTAAAATAATATTCGATACAATTTAACTATCGAGTAATTGGATTTACACGAAACTGAAAAAAAAAAATCTTGAAATGAAATCTGAATATAACACAATCGAAATATTTAAACACTCCGAAAATATGCGATCGATTAATCTATCATCCCAACGCGCGTTACGAACAAAAAAGTCGTGATTTCTTCTAACAACTATCATTTTTATTATGCTTCAGTATAATTCAATAGTGAAATTAATATATCCCTATAATATATACATAGATTTATATAATACGTACATTTTCAGTGTCAACTTTATACACGGAGGAATAGTTTTCATATATTGCCATATTATATAACGCAGCATTCTGTGTGACAGCAAATCAACACATTAAATCTTCTTCTGTTTCAGATCGCGAGAAAAATTGGTACAAAAGTTGAAGAGATAATGTCAGATCTGTATGAAATAGACAGACAGACGGCTCACTTTTAATTTAAATAATAATTGTATATATTAAGATTGTTCTTACCGTACTCTGAGTTTTATTTACCTATACATTTAGTTTTATATTTAATATCGTACAGTATGGATATTTAAAGATAATTTAAAAGTATTGATAAACAATTAATTTGCGTTTGTTAAACTCTCGTATAGACGAGAGTTTAACAAATCGTTTATGTAGATAAACATAATAATAATAAATATAAGAACAAAATTGCGCATTTACTTACTACAAATAATTTTGTAAACATGAAAAGTTAGTGTTCTGAAATTATAATAATTTTAAGGTATTTTTCATGTTAATAATAATACTTTTAATACATTACAGTATAATGTATTTACTTCCTAATAATAACTTGTAATATTGCTGAAAGTCGAGGTTAGCTGTTTACCATTTAAAATTCATCTTACACTTGCAGACTTATAGTAGTGGCGTGCACACCATAGATGAAAATAAGCATTGCATACCCTACCCATATAACAAATAAAACGATATTGTTTAATCTTACATACTTTTAAACATACATTACGAAATACTAATGTTTACAGACATTTAAAATGACATTTGATTCACGATTTGTTTAAAGTGCCATCTATTAATGTATAAACGAAACATTTTAATCGGCCGCTGCCTGCTAGCGCCGCTATGCAGCCAGAGCGGCGGCATGCACAGTTGTGCTATTTTCCGTACAAATAATAATAAAATCATATCGGTAAAACAAAGGTGCCTAGTAAATTATAAATACAGTCAAAACCGTTTATAACGACATTGAAGGGACCGTATATATCCGACGTTATATCCGATAGTCGTTATAAGCAATAGTCATATACACAATTACAGTAGTTATACATATTATCATATGTAGTTACATATCTAGCATAGGTATAGGTTATGTATGTAAACGAGTCAGAAAAGAAATAAAAATATTTATTAAGAAATAATTAGAATACAAAATGTACTTAGCTGCTTACAGTTACGGGTTATAAAAAACTACACTAGTTTTTAAAGTAATCAGTCATTTTAGAATAATTTTTTTTAACACAGTCTCAAATATTTTTAGCATTTTACGTTTCATACTCAAGGTATGAGTATCATCAATATCAAAGTGTTCTTTAATGGCAATTTTTTTTGCAAAACTGTTACATCATTAAGAGCCTCGGAAATTATTGTTGGCTGAAACTATTCTTCAAGGTCTTGTTGGTCTTCGTGTTGTTCGTTAGTGTTAGGGTTGTTACTTTTAGCTTCTGCAAGAATCTCTTCCTCAGTAGCTAAGGCGCTAACGCGACACTTATCTATTCCAATAAATTTCTCTATGTCAATTCTTTGTTCTATAGCAGTAGATCTTTGCACCTGGGTAAGGGCAAGGAGCGGTTGGTCGTTAAAGTCGATTAATATCGATAAATTTTCGTCGTTGTAAGCGATATGTCGCTGTGTGCGATGTTGTTATAAGCGGTTTGTTTACTGAATAGTTTACTAGCAATTCGGACGGGCCCATACAATCTGGCTGTAATAACCGATAGGTCGTTGTAAACGATGTCGTTATAAACGGTTTTGACTGTATGTCTAAGATTAGGGTGATAATTTTTTTAAATTGATTTTAAAAACAATTCTTTAAAACTTTTTTTCATAATCGTATTTAACATTAAATAAATTTGCTTATATTATTTACAAGTAACTTCACACTAAAGCCGAATTAAAGCAATAATAGTTGATAGATAGAAAATCAACAGAGAAGTTGTGTAAATATTATATATGAACACTTTCTGGAAATAAGGAACAATTCATGGGAACAAAAAGCTTAAATATCATCCACACGAGTTGTAGCATGAATTTGTGTGGACGCCTATTATAATAGAATTTTCTTTTAATAATATAATATACCCATTGTCTAATATTTGGCAAAAGCATTATTGGAAGAATAATATTCAATAACAACTAAAATTAATTTTAAAATTCTGTATATAAATCGTTTTTGTGAATGAGTCTGGTTTTATATCCTTTATTTTTAAGGCCTTTAAGGCCTCGGCCTCGAATTTTGCGGGCAGCGGAGCGGGAGCGGGAGCGGCAGGATCTTACGCGTATAATCAAATGGACCGACCCTCGAATACAGCGGTGCCCGCTGCCCGCTATTTTGGAGAAATGTATGCGTTTTCGTGCCGCCGCCGCTGCCGCTCCGCTGCCCGCAAAATTCGAGGCCGAGGCCTAAAAGTCATTGATATAATTGCCAACGCTTAGCACTTTTCTAAATTGATTCCGAAAGAATAGTGACATCTAAGATTTTCGCGAGTAAATATTTAAAATTAAAATATGTTTTCCTCATATGGGTATTGAACAGTTTTAATATTTCACATTTTCCCGACGTTTCGATTACTCTAAAGTTTAGACCTTAGAGAAACCGCGATCACGGGCAGACGAAATGAACGTATGAAAAAATGTAAATTATATTACAAAATCACAAAAAAAGCTAATGCCATTCACAAAAAACATAATTTAATTTTGAATGGTCTCCAAAAAGATGAAAAACATCCTATAATTTCTTTACATACATTGAACGCATTTAATGAGCTCTATATTATTACCTCCGACACAGAGTGTCCCTTCGCACTGTAAGCGTTATATCTACTCGCTGTAGAATAATGCTAGCTTAATGAAAATAAGACAGCAGTTCTGAATAATGGATAGCAAAAACCGAAAAAAATATTTAACAAATATTGAGAGTATTTCATGAGCTTAAATAATTTAATAGTTCTACCATTAATAAGCGTTATAGCCTATAGGTTACATGTTATACAAGTAGTTTCATAATTAGCTTTCAATTCTATATACATATTTCTTCATACCACTGATAAACCAAATTTGATTTAAACGCATTAAACTATCGTATAAAAACAAAAAAAATATTGTATATAATGTTATTGTTTCTGATGCCTTGATTATTCTATCGTAAAAGATAACTTCTAGTTTCTAAAACATTCGGTAAAAATGAAAAAAGTCAATGAGAGTAAATAATATCTATTGCTATCGGAATAATGTAATTAATTATCATCCATTAAAAGTTATTTCAGGGCCTCTACAGGGACTATGAATCAGATAGAAATGATTTATTTGTGTTCCCAACAGGAAATAGGAAAGTTATCTGTACCTTAGCAGAAGTTTTCAACGTGAAAAGCATACAGTTTATAGTTTTTCTTAAATAAACTTTAGCAAGTATGAGTATCAAAGTCGGTTTATTTATGAAAAACTGGAAGCTCTTTTCATTGATACAATACTAATTAATGACAAAGTTAGTTTTGTATATATATATATACACATTATCAGCCTATTAGAGCCTAGTGCTGAGCAAAGGTCTCTTCTCACATGGAGAAGGTTAGAGCATTAATCACCACGCCTTCTCAAGGCTTATTAGCGATTTGAAACTTATAATTTAAAATCATAAGTCCAGGTTTCCGATGTTTTCCTTCTCCTGTCAGTGTCTAAATACTCTTAGAGAGTAAATACGAGTAGGAAATAATTACATTGTATTTGGGAGGTGTCGAATCAGCACCCTCATGTAAAAGCGGCCGCCCTTTAACCTCTAGTCTACCACGACTTGTGCTTTACATGTATTATAATATATAATACTTGAAAATTAAATATACGTTAATAAAATATGGACAGTACAACTTAAGACAATTTATGGTAAGAAAAAGATAAGCAATTCAAAGAAATAATTAAAATCATATTTATTTTATAACATTGCTGCAATGAAAAATACTAACTAAAGCCTTGTAAATCTGTATTTATTAAAATGAAAACAATAAAAGTAGCTTTGTGTAAGAAATAGAATTAAATATCTTTCATTGCACTTTGTATTATAACGCGAAGTTATTGTTTTAATTTTTTTATAACTATAAAAATTCCAACTTAAATAATATTTTTTCACAGATAAAATAAATATGAATAGCTTGTCTTTGATTGTTGTGAAATAAAATATTCTGTAGACAATACTCAAAAATGTGTTTTTTTCGATTTATACGATTCTTAACACATATTATTTATTAATATACCTACTTACATAAATAACTCTACTCATTTAGATATTGAAAGTAAAAAAAAGTTTTTAAATTTACAGATAAAGCACTTTAAATTTCTTATTATAAAACAAGAACAATTGGTCAGTGGGGTCTAGTGGTTAAAAGGCCCGCCTCTCATGCATGACGGCACGGGTTCGCTCCTGGCCCGGGCAAGTACCAATGTGATTTTTCCGAATCATAATATGTACTTTCTAAGAATATTTAGACATCACTGATTAATGCATTCCCAAAGAGGGTTGATGTCAGGCAGGCGGCCAGTCTTCAAACAATTAGCCAAAACTATTCACAACATGTAAGGCAGACCCTGGCTAAAGCTGGGGAATTACCAGGTAGAAGAAGAAGAAGAAAACATGAACAATTAATTGTTTTAATATTTAGATTTTTACACAGTAATATTATCTGTAGCAATATGAATAATAGTACATTTTAGGACCCTATTAAAATGTAATATGCGGTCCACGCACATCTTGGTTTAAATAATTAAAGAGACGTGAATTTAATTTAAAATTATATAACATTTTAAACGTTAAATTTAAAGAAAGCTACACGAAATATATTATAGATTACTTGTAATATTTACAGAATACACGCCGCAATATTTACTAGCTAGCCATTTCCTTTCCCGAGACTTGATTTAAAATCGTTTCCCGTTGCAACACTTGAATGACCACCGTTTATTAATATCACTATATCATTCAGACAATTTGTTAAATACATCTGTATTTTCCGCGTCTATAAAATGTATTAAAAATAGAAATAAGTTTTTCAGAAATAAAATAAAACGGCTTTTGTTTAAAATAAATATGTAAGTATTTCTAAAAATATTTTTCAGCGAGCTCGTTCCCACACTCTTTTTCCGGTCTCCTTTTAATAATGCTTTTAAATTTTATTTTAGCACAGTTTAAAAATATTTAACA